AAAGCCTTAATTGTGTCCTATTCATATTACATCTTCAATTCTCAAATTTCTTAAGAATATAATATAATTGAAATTTGGAATTTGTAGATGTAATATGATAAACGACACAATTCAGGGCAGAAGAATTGTGTCTGAAGTCATTAAAAATGCAAAACTAAGCTATTAAGTATGAAATAAAAGTGCTATGTCAACAAATTAAATATCTAGTTTATGCATAATGATCATTTTTAAAATATTTTTTTTCAGGATGACTTAAACAAAAATTATTTTACAGAGAGAAAAAATAAAACTTGTCTATTTTACAGGGACTAAAAACATATTTTGCCGATTTGATACCATATTTGTGAACGAATTACATACGTGTTCGAAAATGTTAAGAAATAATTTTAAAATATTCAGGAAATGAAATTTTTTTAAAGATTATTTCTAAAATATCAATGATCGATCTCATTATATTACTTTTTTTTGAAAAAAAATCAAGCAAAAAATAATTTCATTTGCTTTTCAAAATTTTCAATATCGAAATATTTCTCAATTTTTCTAAAAGAGACAAATAAATGAGACTAATTTAAAGACTCGATATATTCTAATTCTCATATACAAAAAGAATGTTCTCTTAGCTTCATTAATCTAAACTCCGCCCAATTATCAAACTTTAGATTCAAAAGTTACACAAAGATGTCACTCAAAATTACTATATATTGATCCATATTATAAACTCTAATTACCAGATTATATAAACTTTAAATTTCATCAGATTCTAATTAAATTTAATTAAAACAAAAAGAACATGAAATTCGTTTTTTTTAAAAAAAAAGACATGAAATGCCCAGCATAACTTTTCCTCTGATTCCATAACGTGGCAATGTGCCATGGGTAATGATAGGGGAAGTGTTTGCATGCATGTATTTGCTTTATGTTCTGAATTAATTTTTTTAAATTCAATAACTAGTTACACGTCAATATTTATATATAATTAATTTATTTGTTTATTTTCATTACTAATTTCATAAAATAATAGTAATGTCACGTAATTTATTTGTTACGTACTTTTGATTTGTAGACCTTATTAGGAGTTAAGTTTGACTCTTATTAAACATGATATACTAGTCTTCTTTCATATTGTGCACTTGGATTTATAATATTCCAACCAGTACAATGAGAAATGTCATTAGTCATCACATCAATTGTAAGTTGCAACAACATTTTTGTGGTCAAAATATGAATCAAAACCTTCATTAAAAGTCTAATATGTTCAGATGGTATAATTTAAACTGTTGGCCACATACTCTATGGGTTGCGGTCGAGTAATCGAGTGGTTGATAACGATTGGTAAAAGAGATCAAGGATTTGAGTGATGAAAGGAATAGTTTAATAATAAATGATGTAATTAATGAGAAATTCATATCAGGTTTAGATTTATTTGTTTATGAAAATTAAGATTAATGACTTCATAGATTACAAGATTAGGAGAATGCAATAATCACCAACACTTCAATTATCAAACAAAAATGTTAGCCATGCATTATTAGTGTCATTTTTAATGTCTCATTCGATGCTTCACGCTTTCGAATTTCGCATTACTATACTTATAAAAAATCTATTTTACCCTTTTTGCACACACCCTATTTTAATAGTTATACTATCAATGGTAAATAAGGAATTAAAAATTAATAACATTCTCACATTTGTCCAAAACTTTATAATATTTTCTTTGTCAAAAATTCAAAAGGATGCCGGTAAGGAGTATATATTAACTCTTGAGTCCAGTGGCGGATCCAGGATTGTGAATGACTGGGGGCAATATAGCAAAGCGGGGGTTCGGTGGCAGAGCCCCGATTTTTTTAAATGTACTTTATATCATGATGAAAAAATTAATTTTATATAAAACAAAATTAAAATAAGAAAAACAAAATATTTTAAAATTAGTAAAATTATACTCCATCCATCCCAATTTATAGCGCCTGTTTCGGTTTACGATGTTTGATTGAAATTATTTTCAAATCATTTTATATGACAAATGGTATAGAGTTTAAAAATAAAAATTACATATCAAAATACTACATCAAAAGATCTACAAAATTAGTAGTGACAATAGCACTTTATTTTATCAAATTGCTAACAAAAATAGAGAAAAAAATTGAATAAAGTTTGAACTTGTGAATAATGAACATGCACTATATATTGGGACGGAGGGAGTAATACTAAATGAATTATGTTGTACGAAATTATTTAATATCACTAGAGTTTACAAATACTTCATTTAATGGGTTAATTAGAGGTCACTGGGGGCATTCTTTATTTTTTGTTGGGGGCAGCCATACATAAAACAAAAAAAAGTAAAAAAAATTTTTTTTTTGACTGGGGGCAATTGCCCCCGTATGCTCCAAGGTAGATCCGCCAATGCTCTTGACTAAATTCTATCATTGATCCTTCAAGTTATTGAGTTGTGCAAATGTTACGTTAGTCCTTCAGCTTTGAAAAATCCATGAATAGTCTTTCAAGTCATGTTAGTGTTGCATGATTAGCCCTTCTCTTAATTTTGTTGTTAGTCCATGCACTTTTTTCATTATAAATATATACATGTGAGCAACTTTCTCTTTTTTCATACAATTGAGCAGTACTTTTTGTAGATTTATTCTAAGGACCAACCATGCAAAGTTAGCATGACTTGAAGGACTAGCTATTTGTGGAACTTTCAAAGTTGAAATATCAACCATGCAAAGCTAATATGACTTGAAAGACTATTTGTTGAATTTTCAAAATTGAAAGACTAATTGTACATGACACAATAACTTAAATGATTTTAGTCATCATTAACTCTTTGGTGCTTTCACATCCATTAGCACAAGTCCTTTCCAGGAATGTGGAAAGCATGCCCAACCCAACCTCAGCTCATGCATGCCTAAAAAACAAATCTTTATTTATTAACATGAATTGCTAACAATGATAGTGTGCATCTTATTTAAGCAGTGTATTGGAAGATAGAGTGTCATATAACTATATAAGTCGACCCCTAAATGGTTATTAGAGGAAGCTAGGAATTGGGCTATGGTGTCCATAAGGAGTCCAATCCTTTTGTCCCTCTAGTTTATGTCTCGTTTTAGCTAATAGGAGTAATAGACTCAATAAACCGTGAAGTTTTGTTTTAGCAATAATTGAAAGTGTGAAATGCTTGATTTTCCCCACTTCGTGAAGTTAAGATATGTGTACACTTAAGAATAGATATAGTTGTGAGATCACAAGAGTTTATAATCTCCAAAATGAATATTCTTCCACTATATTAAAGAATAGTAAGATTACAAGTGTGTTTTTACAAAATTCATTCACACTATCGTGGCTTATTCAAGTTTGAGGATTAAGACTTTCCAAGTTTTACACTCTCACTCTCAAAAGACTTCTTAGTTTACGAGTGGATTGCTTGCTCCACTTTATTTGATTGATGGAAGTGAAGGGCTCACCCCTTATTTATACTACTTCAATTCACATCTGTAATAAATTGTAACACCCGCCTTCCGTGGACCCGGTTCACCTGCGATCCAACGGACCGGTAGGGTTACATGGGCGGTCCGAGAACCGTCCGTAACGAATAAAACATTAATGTCTATTTATTATGAAAACGATTGTATTTAATTGACGAAATAAATGCTAGGGAGTTACCCCCAAAACGTGTGTGATATAAATGCAGAGTAAAAGCGGAAGTAAATAAATAAGTCCAAAATAAGTAAAACAACATATGATGAGTTCATGCCCAAATGATTAATTAATTCAAATAATTATAATTATTAAACTCGTCCGTGCGCCGCCCATCTTCCCATCATCACTGTCCTCCAGGGTTAGCATCTGTACTGTCATGTCTACCTGCGTGTAGCAAAAACAACTACACGCTCAGTAAAAGCTGAGGAGTGAATCTAACAAAAGAACATGAAGTGATAACCCATATGATTATACGCATATTAATACATGTACTTTAACGTACGGAAAACCAGATGCTTACTAACTGATTAATTTGCACTTGATGGGATATTATTACACATAACAAGATGATGTACTGCCACATTGAATAAGGATATGATGGGGAACATATATGATGATGACAACCACATTGAATGTTGACATGACATGGAACACACGTGATGACGATATGACTTGATGCATGACTTAAACTATCAGGGACACTCCTGGCTTAGTCTCACTTGACAGGATCACTCTTGCACTCTGGTAATGAGCCGGGCTTGATGAAAATGTCGCAAGTGAACTAGCAAAACTGGGTGGTAGCCGTAACCTCACTACCATGTACGTACACAAAGCCCACCTGATGAAAACCCGTTGGATCTCAAAGGTTCCTGGATGGGCCCACTGTAGTAGGCGCACGAAAGCCCGACCTTCCTACAGCGGTATGCACATGATGATAAACCTAGGACATGCGTCTAGAATGAACATGATGAATGCTTGATATATTTTCCTTTGGTCTACGCCAAGAACATATCAATTAAATAGCATGCATAATGAAGATTAACATTCCATGCAAATATATAATCAGATTCTGAGTCAATATGGTCAACGGGGCTCGTTCTACAAACTGCCCGGAATTCTGCCCGCAGAACGGTCGACCGTTCCCTACCGGTGGTCGACCGTGGGCTATGGTCTGGGTCTGGGTCACAAACGGTCCACCGTCGCGGCCGACGGTCGACCGTCACGGTGGTGACCGTCGGACGGCCAAGGGAACGGTCCACCGTCCGTAGCGGCGGTCGACCGTCCCGAAGACAGTCCTCTGATTTTGACTTCGTTTTGATCCATTTTGAAAACTTAACACCTTGATTATTTTTAGAACAATAATACAAACATTGTTGAATATATTCCTAGTGATTCCTAGGCCAATATATAAGTTTTACGTAGTGAACGTTTTGATGGCTAACCTACGAACATGCATAGATTCTACATAGGTTGCGTACGATATTCCTATGAATATAACGACATAGATTATAACTAAATGTTCTAGAATTAGAAGGGACAACTACTCACCTCTAAATGATGGGGTTGATTAAACGGAAACGAAATGAACGAACGGTTGACAACATTGAACGACAAATGGTTTCTCGTGGACTCCTCCTTCTCTTCTTCCTCCTCGTCTACTCGCTGGAATCACCTCTTGGGCTGCTGTGGTTGGCCGAAAATGCAATGGCAGAGGAAGAGAGTGGAGTGTGTGAGTGAGAGCTACAATTGTGGTGGAGAAAATGAAGAGGAAGAAGCTATTATATTGAATATGTATTGATGAGGATTAATGGGCAATTGAATGTGAAATAATGGTTTGTGCATGTGGGGAAAATGAAGGGTGTGGGTGTGGCGTGGGTTTTTGAAGGAATTAAATGGGGAGTTATCTCCCTAATTTCTATTCCGTTGTGTAAAATCTGACTTGTACGGTACGCGGTTTTCCCCCCGAATGGGTCCGAATTGAGATCCGTTTGCGTTTTTGGAGTCAGACAGTCAAAACGAATTTAATGACATGTTCAAATAATTTTTCTAAGAACTTTATTTTCAAACTTCCGGATCCATCCCAATCATTAATTAATTTATTTACTTAATTAATGTTGAGAGTCCCGTTATTAAAACATCTTTTACAATTAAAATACATTAGATTTGAAAAACCATTTAAAGAGATCAAAATCTCAATTTTTATTATTATAAATAATGAGTCTCATTAAATAAATAATATTTATTTATTTAAAATATTGGCTAGCTATTAGGCCGGTTTGTAGGGCGTTACATAAATGGTGAGGAAAGTCTCTAGAATGTTCCACACATTCTAGAAATCTCTACACTTCCACTTCCTTCCATACTCTTTCATAAGGTTCTACACGTCTCTGAAATATTCGAGAGGTATCCACATTCTTCTACAAGCTTCCATAAGTGTTTTGAGAGTTCAACACTTCTCTAGAGTATTCCAGAGGCTTTCAAGTGATTCTAGAGAACTATACACTTTTGTAGAATATTCTGAATCATTCTAAAAAATTCTACTCCGTATAATTCAACACTTCTCTAGAATATTGTGACTCATCTTCTCAAAGAAATTTTAAAACAAGGTGCTCCATCCACCACTCAGAACTTATGATCTCTTGCCATTCCTTCCTCGTCAAATTAGATTACGATTTTCCATTTACGAGGCAAAACCTCGCGTTTTCAATCAAAGTTTGAATAAAATTTTGTTAAAAATTTGATATAAGAATAAGTAGTAAAATCTACATGTTAAAAAACTACGTTAAATTTTTACAAAATAAGAGGTTAAAAGAATCTTTTATATAATCAAATAATGAATGAAAATAATCCAAGAAACAAAAGTTATCAAAAGAAAAATCCTAAAAACCGTAATCAATTTCGAGACAGAGAGAGTACTCCGTATTTGTTTAGGAAAATGGAGTTCACATTGGAGTTTGGAAGCTAAGTTTGCCTACTCACTCAGCTCAAAAAAAAAAAGAAGTTTGCCTACTCACTCATCTTCTTTCTTCCCATGGGTAGATTTTGAATTTTCTATAGTTTCAAATTTTTCATACTTTCGTGTGGCACATAACAAGGAGAAAGAATAAGAAGAGGTTTACTTTGAATAATAAAAATGGTTAATTATTGACCTTATTTATTTTGCCGCAATTCCGGAAAAGCCATTCTCTACGTTCCAATCATGCGTTGTACTTTGTAGGCTCAACTGGAGCCAAAATGATCTAGTGCAGCTGCGTTTGTGCTCCATCATTTGACAAACAAAAAACACGACAGGTCAGATAAGGAGTTTGGTAAAATTTTCAGGCTGAAAAGACTGATATGCCCTTGCTATTTGACTTTTTTGACAGTCTTGCATCGTAAATTTGTCTTCTTAAATATATATCCCGTCTCTAAAGTCCAATCTGCCCCTAATTTCAGTGGATGAAGTAGGAATTTTGACAAGTCGCATCTAATTATTTCAAATGTGAAAACTTAATAAATCAATTTATTCCATTTTGACTAAATCCATCCCATTTGAGATAAATATGCAATTTTACTATAAAAATATAAAAGATTGAGTTTAGATCGATATAAATTCTAAAACAATTGATAAGAGCGAAGTTATCCATTTAACATAAAAAGAGTGGATTTAACCAAAATCGAAGTGGATGTAGCAACACTCTTTCAGTAATGGCAATTTTGCGTTGCCCTTTCTGGTAGACAAATTTTTTCAATTTTGATGTTTGGCTATTTCAGAAAACGAGTCCACGGAAAATATAAATCACGCGAAATATTTTATCTTCCCTCTATTGGCAAGACATTTTTCACCATTCTCCTACTTTTTGGTGTTTTTATATCAAAACACACCACATTTTACTTTGTTGTAAGAAATAAAGGAAACTTGTTTTCTTTCATTTCCTAAACTTTCAACAGAACACCAAAAAGCAAATTTATGGAGTATTTTTCAGGAGTCATTTTGCAATAATGATTTTTTTTAGAAGTCTGTTTCTATCAATTTTTCCAGATGGGCCGTAAGTGAACTCTACTAGTTCTAGAAAATCTACCACTTGACCCCATTGGAAGTAGTGTACTAGTGTGTCCGCCACTGCCACTGCCTAATCCCCATCACTTTTCACTAAGAGTGACTCTCCATCTTAAAATGTTCTTTCTATTTTCTTTTTTGATTCGTCTGAAAATATTTTTTTCATTTTTTAGTATACTCCATCCGTTCTAAAAAAAGATTTCTAATTTGACCAAGTGTAAAAATAAGGAAGTATTAAATTATAGTTGACTTTCAATTTTGCCTTTGATGGTGATGGGTAAAAGTAAAATATGATGGATAGATTATTAGAGAAAAAAATATGATGTATTAGAATGGATATGAAAAAGTAAGGGTAAAAATAATTTTTTTAATAGAAAGTGAAAATGTTTGGTTGAAAGTGAAAAACGTGAAAGAAGAATTGAGAGCGGAGAGAGTACTTTTTAAGGATAAATTTCAATGATACCCTTCTATTTTATCACTAATCTACTTTTTTATTGTTTTTTTAATAAGAAAGAGATGTTTAAAAGTTTATAGTATGTACATTTTTGGAAATTTAGTACGGAGTACTTTTTTACTACTTAATAAGCATGTCAAGTCAACACAGGAAGAATATTTTCGTACGGAGGGAGTACTAGTATAAACATTATTGACATGAATGAATATATACAAATAAATCGCAATGCCTTAGTTTGACATTTGATTTTGAACTTCTTTTAATTGCGTTTTTTCAGATTACGCACAACAAAAGGGAGAAACCAAAGGAAAAGAGCTTGGGAGGCATTTATCAACCGAAGAGTTCACTCCTTTTATTCACTGTGTGAGTTTGTGATCTTAGAACATAGCATGTTTGTGCAACGAGTGACATGCCTTTTTATCGTTTCCATAGGATGGCTAGGCATGCCGCCAAAGCTTGCCAAATCCTAGAACGTGAAATTCAAAGTCTTACCCAAGCACAGTCAACATGAAGCAATGTATGAGAAAGACAACACCTGACGAAAGAATAACAAAGCCAAAGGTGGAAGAGAATTGATGGTCGCGGCATGCGACGATGCCATAAAGCTACCAATAAGAGAGACAGAAAGAGTGAAGTGAAATTTGCTGAGGTTGGATAAAAACCCAACATTCAAACTCATCTGTCGCGCAAAAGCTCCATACTTTGCCAATCTCATTTGATATGTACAGGGTATTCCGTCCGTCCTAAATTGATAATCTCATTTTAATTTATTAATACAACTCAATAGAACCCCATAGAAGAAGGTTCTAGAGATTGTGCATCCACATAACTTACTCTTACTCGAAAGTAGAAATACTGTTTCCAAGAGAGCCCAAAACTCAAACAATAAAAAAGTAAACAAAGACAAACTAAGGGTAAAGAAAAAGCACAAAGTGACGAACAACACACAAACCGCCACTAGCAACTAGACACCAAGAAAAGGAAACAACAATAACAATAGCGAAAACTAACATCAAAGCCTAAACAGCTATCCAACTATCCTAGGTCAAGATTTTCAGACGCTTCTAATAAACTAAAAGTATATGATCCACAAATTTTTTTCTTTAAATCAATTCCCGCTGCTATTTTTTTCAGCACTTTTCTTAATCAACTTGCACCAACTACATGGAGAAACAGTGAAAATCTGCATAAGCTAATCATTTTAGCAACGATGACATTGTTAAGGTTACACTTAACAACATTGCCACATGAAGGGAGTGTTTGGTAGACACCGCAATCTGCCATCTACTATTGTACATGGTGTTTAGGGGAAAGCTGATCAATATATTTGGTTCACCACAACAAACCAAAATTGAATCAGCTACTTTTGACAGCTGAAATCTAAAATTACAAAATTTCATACATTACTAGTCTAAGAAAAAGAGTAAGAAAACAAATTATGTATCATAGTTGGGGGCATAGAAGAAAATTGCCATAATTTTTTCCCCTTAAATTGATAATCTTTGTAAACATACCAAGAACATTTTTTACGAAACAGTGAAAACAAACAACTATTATAAACTGTTAGGAGAAATAGCTCATACAACCCACCATTTGCCAAACACAAAGTTAAACATATAGTCTCATTCTCTGTAGAGCAAATGACTAAGCATTTACGGAGTATTATACTAAACAAATAAGGTTCTTGCACTTAAACAAGAACATTTTGTTTTATTGCAAACATGTGCCATGCAGCGGCCCGAATAACTAACAAAGACCTAGCAACACTAGGACCATGACAAGTTCACAACCAACTTGACAACAACTCACACCGATAGTGTCAAGTAGTAACTGGCAGGCTAAGAACCCGATGTCAAATCTATGGTATTTGAGCTTTCTCGTGTCACTGAATGCATTAAAGCACACTTTTGATGTCACATAATGTGTTAGAGCACACTTAGAGAACTAAGAATCTTGGGGTTTTGTTGTGTTTTAGAAGAGGAAATAATAAGCCATTCCCAAACATTAAATCCTGATGTCGATAGACAAACTTAAACCATTCATTTTTGGCAGAAAAACACAGGCACTGTGAAAATTAGTCTTCTTGTACATTTTGTTCTCTTATTCCAATTCCACGGCTGGAATTCCGTGTACCAAACAGAGCCTAAGAGACTGAGGTTTTCTTTCCCTTGTGCAGAGGAAATAGCAAATTTAAGACACATAGATGTTTGCAAAGCCATTCCTTTTTGGCTGAAAGTTCACTAACACTATAAATTTCTCTTCATGAACAACAAAATTGAACGAAATCTAGCATCAAAATCCATGACATGTCGAAATCGAATAGAAAGTTACATGAAATACTCAACTGGCAACTTCGCATTTGCTTTTTTCGAATTAAAGAGCGGATAAAAAGATAAACCTACAGATATAAGCCGAGCATCCGAAGAAGCGTACCATCTCCTCACAGATCTTGCACGCTCAGACCTGCAGATCCAACGAAAAATTCAAATTTCGAAGCTATTCACAGATCGAAGTGTTAGGCTTAAGCATGTGGGGGGAAGAAGAAGGTACCGGGAGGAAGGGATTGCTTGAGCTTATTGGCCTTCTCGAAGTCGGAGACGCAGAGGGTGTAGAGGTACTTGGAGCAGCGGACCTTGAACTTGACGGAGTCCTTGTTCTTCTTTATCCTCACTGAACGGGCATCTTTTCTCCTCGCCGTCAGGAGAAAGTCTTTAATCTCGTGGATTTGCTTCGGCATCTTCTTCCTCTCCTTCGTCTTCCCGGATTGTATTTCGTGCCGTTCTGCGATGCACAGCCTGCGCCTGCCGTTCGACGACGAAGATATCAAATCCTTTTATACGTCTAAGAACCCTAATTAGGTGTAGTTTTTAAGGAAGACTTAATTTATTGTCGGTATATTTTTTAATTATTATGGAGTATTTTTTTAATTTTTTTTGAAGGTTAAGTATTTTTTAATTACTTAAATATTTTATTCAATTGACGAGTTTTACAAATGATAAATTTGTGTAGTTTGTAGCTAACTAGTATGACACCCCGTGCGTTGCACGGTTCGTATAAACGTCATAAATTTATATTGGTATTATTAAAAAAGTAAATAAGTACACCATATAATGAAATACTCCCTCCGTCCACAAATAAACTTTACGTTCACTATTTACAGAGTCAAACTTTATTCACTTTTTGGCTTATTTTCGTCACCCATTTGATAAAATAATATAGTCATGTCACTTCTAGTTTTATAGATATTTTTATATAGTTTTTCAATATGTAATTTTTATTTTTCAATTCTACACCATTTTTCATATAAAATGATTTGAAAATAACTTCAGTCAAACATCGTAACGCGCAATGTAAAGTTTATTTGTGGACGGAGGGAGTATAATGTTCTTCAATTGTGTAATATATAAATTATCTCCACCACATTTTCCTATTCTGAAAAGAAGGGGAAACATATACCCTTCCCGCCCAAGTGACTTCTTAAATACAGTTTAAGATATAAAAATGGCGAGTGTTTTAAAAAAAGAATTAAAAAGAATGAATGATTGAATTTTGATATTATTATTTTTATTAAAAATCAAAGGAGGTTAGATTTATTTTTCTTGAAACGTCGATTTCATAACTTTTTAAAGCATATAAATAAAAAGAGGAAAGATTTTAAAAAAAGGAGGAATGCTTGAATTTTATTAATAACTTTAATGCGTAGACAATTAACATGGTGCAAACAAAATACATAAGATTAAAATTTTAAAACTTTCATTATTAAGCACAAGAATACTCACGGTTTTAAAATTCTTGAAATATTTTTTTTATTTTCCGCCACACTAAAAAAATTAGTTACGCGTATAATAAAGAAAAAAAGTTTCAAGAAGTTAATATTTTTAACATCGCCCAATAATCGACGTTAAACCTGGCAAAAAATGACCCGCTAAAAATGGGTCAAACCCGACTAGACCGACCCGCTAATCTAAGATTTTTTTAAAATCATACGAGTACATTTTAATATGAAATATAGTGTTATAAAAATAAGATTATAATTATAGTACTTCTTTACTTACTACTCATTTTTTGTGTATAGATATATACCATAATAATAAATTTTAATGATGTCGCATAATTATCTTACATTTTTTCAAAATTTCTACATATTTAATTTTTTTATTCGTAATATTGACACTTAATCATAGAAATTATTTAAAATTTTAAAAAAATTAATAAAACTCATAACCCGTTGGGTCAACCTGAACCCCATGAAACTGGGTTATGAACATGTAGTTATCAACCTGAACCCGAACTTATCCGAACCCGAAGTAACTTGAACCCAAGGTGACCAAACCCGATTCCAACTTGACGGACCAGTTTGCCAGGTCTACTCGACATATCAGACAAATAAAAAATGATTCGAGAATGAGCCTTTTCGTTTAACATGCTAATAACTTCCAAAATTCTATGATTTCTCTTTTTGGTAATTCTTTCTTTTTCTTAATATGTTAAATATGTTTTTTCATTCATAAAAAATCTCCTTAATTTTCGGGCATTAAGTATGTACAGGTTTTATAAAGTTAATTTCTTTTTTTTTAAATAGTTAAAACTGTATCATATATATACACACAATGATTTGTTAGAGAAAGAAGAAGGAAGAAAGATTGAAAAAGGAAAGTGTTAGAGACAGAAGAATAAAGCGGGATTGAAGAAGGAAACCGAATGTCCGAATCCCTTTGGGATTAGGTTTAGTATCCTTCCTAGTTGGATTAGGTTTAGTATTTAGTATCTTTCCAAGTTTGTTTAATTCTTATTTTAGTAAGAATAGAAATTTCCTTGTTTACTTTACGCTCTTCCTATATAAAGAGGATTAGATCTTTGTATTTAGAATCAGTTTCACAAACCAATTTACTATACAAAAATATTTTCTCTCTTATTTTCTACATGCTTTCCTTTTATAAAATCATATTATTTAAATACACCGCATTAAATTACACATGAATCTATAAGGTATTTCCTTTTATAGAATGAAATAAAGCCATATTTGCATGTTGCTTAATTATAATTACCGTAGATTAAAAATGTAGATCAAAATCGATAGTCCATAAACGATAGCGTTTGGGCGAGAAAAAGCATGAACACAATTCACCTGCTTTTAAAAATAGAATGATATGTTTGTGAGAATGTAAATGATACACTTTGCAATACTTAAAGCTGGGTATACCCAGCGAATATCTATTTTGAATCAATATAAACTTTGTTTAAAAAGATTGTTTTAAATTAACGTTAGCGTTTTGGATAAAAATTTAACGGTGTAGATTAACTCTGAAAATGCTAATGCTAAAGGCTACCATCAGATACTTTTTCGAAACGCTAACGCTAACCTCTAATGCTGATGCTCTACGGGATCATAGAGTTTATTTTCAACCATATTGCTCATTCTAAAACTTGCTCACCATAGTATCTATTTTGAAACAACGTAGTGTTCGTTCTAAAACAACATAATGTTTATTCTGAAACAACGTAGTATTCATTTTGAAACATTTTTTAATTACAAGTTTGCCATGGTGTACTAAGAAAAAGGTAAATCGAGTTGTACCTTATAACTTGTCGATGTTTTTCACTTTAACATTTCTCATTTTACTCCAATACATTTATAGATGTTACAGACATAGAACTATCTTTATTAATGATAAAATAAAATATTTTCGTCACTTCTTATTTTATAAAATTTTTGACATAATTTTTAAATATGTACAGTAATTTTATTTATTATTAATGTATCAATTTATAAATAAAATGATTTCAATAACTATGAGATTTAATTTTGTAATTATTAATTTGTAATTAAAATTGGGATGGGGAGAGTATTAAAACTAATGAAAAATTTAGGAATACCATGACCTCGAATTAAGGCGCATATTGGGAGTTTGGGAGAAACTAGCACAAGGAAAGAGGCGAAAGAAACTTTGCTTCAGCTGATAACAAAAGTCATAAAACTCTTAAACCTGCTTCAATCTTCTCTCTTCATTTGCTTTCCTTTCATTCTTTGGCATCTTCTTCAGAACACTAATTTGATTTTGGATCTGTTCGTGATCTGAGGAAGAAACAATGGCGTATGTAGATCACGCGTTCTCCATATCCGACGATGACATCATGATTGAAACCCCATACACTGTAAGCAACCGACCTCCGGTGAAGGAAATCGCCCTGGCCGTTTCTCTCCTCGTCTTCGGCGTCTTCGCCATCATCCTCGGTTCTTTCATGGCCGCCAACAAGGTCGGCGGCGACCGAGCTCACGGTACTCCTTTTTGTGTTCTTAGTTCCGGAATTTTGTCCCTTCACATCGCTGCTTTCCTTTTATAATCGTCATGCCTATTTTTTTTTTTCTGGAAAAGCCATTTTCATTTGCTAGCTTAGGGTTTTGACCTCCTCTGTAATTTTGGGCATTATATCATTCTGCGTTGAAGAATAGGATTGTAAATTTGCTTTACAAGTAATGGAGAGCTAAGGAATTCAACGTGTTTGGTAAATAAATCAAATTCAGACGTTGAATCAAAATCTGCATCATATTTTCATGTTTTGGTAATGTGTAGTAATTAGGTATGCCTTTGAAACTATTCTACTAGTAATATAGTACTAGTATATAAGCTACCTGAAGGAAGCAATAAAGTGATTAAACCATCCAAATCTTGTTCTTTCTTGTTTGGAAGGGATGTTTCAATGTTGGCTACTTGACTATTAGACTATGTGCTCTCTAAAAGAATCTGGAAACAATGAAATTCTTCTTTTTCTTATTATAGGAAGCTAGCTTCTTCCCATTTTCAATTTAAATTGCTTGTACACTTCTTCAAGCAAAGGCAGATATGAGAAAACATAAGCTTTATTGATTCAGCAAATGGAAATCTAAATTTCACAAACACTTCTACAAAATGAGGTAGGCATGTCACCTCTTGTTTTGTAGAACTCTTGATGTAATTTTTTAAATATATACACCGATTTGCAAATTTATTTAATTGAAAATAGTTTCAACCAAACACCGTAAACCTTATCATGATTTTTTTTGGATGGAGGGAGTATGATATGATCTGTACTTTGAAATATCTAATTTGGTTTGGTCTTGTGCACGAGTGTTGGTCTTGTCAAAAATTCTTGTCAAAAGTATAACATTTGATCTGATCTTACTTGATCTTAATGATTGTAGTCTTGTCTTAACATATGAGTGTGATGAAAATAAGAATAAGTAGTAAGGATAAAAGGTAATAGAACATTAGGGAAACACTCAAAGGATGTAGTAAAACCATGATGTAATGAACTATGCCAATTTCCAAGCAAAAAAGACATCATGATTTTTTGACCTCATTCACTTCCATTGTGATTCCACTCAAAGGATGTAGTAAAACCATGATGTAATGAACTATGCCAATTTCCAAGTGAAAAAGACATCATGATTTGTTGATCTCATTCACTTCCAGCGTGATTCCATGCCCTTAAGAACAAAGTCAATTCTTTTATCTGGTCATGATGTCATCCCCACCATCAATCTGCATTATTTGTAGTTTTCCAATTTGCGGTACTCTACACTTGACTAATTCCATGTTTCCATCTTCAATTAACAACAAATGGAGGTGTAATCAAATCAACCCTCAGGGTTTAGCGTATAACTTTGTTAAGGAGCCTGTTCATTTCACAAACTTTGTTACCCTTTAATTTTCTTAAATAAACATGTCTCAAATTTTGGCTTTAAATAGTTAAGCACCAGAACTACTCGGGCAAAACTTACCCCAATTAGAAAATTGTGATGGACCCTTAATATCATTTCTTATTCAGTTTCAGTGTATTTGGCATTTGGATAGGAACTCCAATTACATTATTTTATCACACAATAGTGGACAATGCCTGGGGAAGGAACCAAATTATTAGAAACAATGTTAACTCCTTTTTGCACTAAGCACTTATACTTGCCTTCGTTGTAACTCTGGACTCAAGCCGTCCAACACTCCAACTACACAGTCTTTGATAATGCAATCCTAAGGTGAATAGGGACTAACGCTTCACGCATCACATATCACGCATCACCATAACGAAGGATTGTATAACAATTGATGAAAATGGTGATAGACGAATTCATTGAGGCCTAGTGTGCTAACTGACCTGTAAGGGCATGCTGTAATACTCTTGGAAATAATACTCTGTACTTCATAAATGGTATTTTACAACCCTATACTCTTGGAAATAGCCTCTCTATGTTTAGTAGGGGTATTGTCTGCCTGCCTACACACACACTCCCCAAACCATGCTATTCCGGGATTCTATTGGCTTGTTGTATACATCCCTTTTAAGATTATACTACCTCCGTCCCACTCTCTTTGTCCACTTTTGATTTTTGGAACTGTTCATCTAAGCACTTTGACTCATCAAATTCTTTCAATGTGTAAGCCAAAATATATTCATGTGTGATCTTGTTTGATTTGTCTTAACATATAGATTATTAATATATAATTTTTATAATTTTTTAATATACAAATTACAAGATAAAATGGATTAAAGAAGTGCATTGGATGGTGTGCCAAAAGGTAAGTGGACAAAGAGAGTGGGACGGAGGGAGTATTTGAATGAATAGCCATCTTTAAACCTTTGTGTTCATTTCTAACAGATATAAAATATACTTTTATGATTTTGTGATATGGATGGTGCTCCTCCCGTGCAAAAATTTTAGGGTCACTTCTGCAGCTCTTACTATTCCTAATTCTGCAGTTTCCACTTCGATTACAGAACAAGGATATTGATACTATTTTATTTTTGTTTGTATATTGGTTCCCTCTCTTGAAAAAGAGTCATGTTTGAATACTTATTTTTGTCTCAAAAAAAGATTATGTTTTGGTTAAAAGAAGCAAATTTTGATTATATTTAGTGCATAAAAAAAGTATGTAACATATTTAGTGTGTTGAAGTTAGTTAAGGCAACAGTTTTTTTATATTATAAATACTTCTCTCTCCGGATTTAGTTGTCCACTCTCTTGTTTTTGTTTGTCTAGAACTAGGTGTCCACTTCCATATTCAATAAAGTAAAGAAATTATGATGAATTGTCTAAAATATCATAGTGATAGACTGATAGGGTATGAGCGTTGTTGATATGAATGAAGGACTAACTCATCCGAAGGGCTTATTTGACAATTCAAACTCATTTCTCCAAATGAGATTCTTTTAGGCCCCGTTTGGTACATGGAATTCAAACTATGGAATTGGAATTGAGGACTTCAATTCCAATTCTGGTGTTTGGTAGCATAAAAATTATGTGGATTTGGAATTGATAGTACAAACAATGAATTGGAATTGGCAGAATTCAATTCTTTGGAATTGAATCCCATGGAATTTCAATTCCAATTCAATTCCAATTCCGTCAATTCCGTATACCAAACGGACCCTTAGAACAATTAATTCCAGACGGTGGGCTTATATCTATATAATGATTTCCAGTCGTTGCACCCCACCAAAACTTAAAAACCAGGCCTTCAGTAGCAACATAGTTCTCTTTATGCAACCGAGGGAGTATTAAGTATTAAATGTGCACAATTTCTTATGAACTAATGCATGCTTCCATCATTGAGTTGTTTTGTAGGGCTATTTTTCGCTGTACTGGGAGGAATTCTGTTCCTTCCTGGGTTCTACTACACTCGAATCGCATATTATGCGTACAAGGGGTACAAAGGTTTCTCCTTCTCCAACATACCTCCTGTGTAGATCACCAACAACAGCACCAGGTTCGTTGTACAGATTGTCTCATTCTCTGCTTCTTGCATCACACTGAACCCATCTCATCGTTTTGTGCTCTGTAGTAACCGTCTTTGTCAAATTCACGTGTATATAATAAGGCGAATCCTTTGGAGAACAGTGTTAGATCCTTGTAGCAAACAAATGAACAAGTGATTCTCAGTTGAATTTCTGGATCATATTAATCAATGACCTGTTATATTTAACTACCACCTCCCATCTTGTTATATATTGAATACAAACCAATGCAGACTGTATTATTGTATTACATTTATTTACTTTGGATAAGATGTATCATAATTTTAAGATCAATGAACTCTTGCAAAGCTTTTGTTTAGGGCAATAGGGCCTTGCTTACATCTACTCCGTATATTTTAATCCGTATTTAAATTTAACTCTTAAATTTAAATAAAATATGGAGGGGTTTTCTTGACGTTGGAATCCCATGACATCTTAGGACACAAGCTTCAATTAGGGCCAATTCAATGTCTCATGTAAAAAATTGACATTTTATACTTTCTTGACATTGTATATTACTACCTCCGTCCCACTGTCTTTGTCCACTTTTGACTTTTGGAACTGTTCATCTAATCATTTTGACTCATCAAATTCTCTCAATGTGTAAGCCTAAAAATAGTCATGTGTGATCTTGTTTGATTCGTCTTAACATATAGATTATTAATATATAATTTTTATAATTTTTTAATATACAAATTACAAGATAAAATGGATTAAAGAAGTGCATTGGATGGTGTGCCAAAAGGTAAGTGGACAAAGACAGTGGGACGGAGGGAGTATTACATATACCGAGTAACATTTTATTAACTTGTTATCAAAAACAATATTCTCTCCATCCAAAACAATATTCTCATCATCTCCGATGGAGCCAAAATTTTATCATTTTTTGGCTTTGAGATGTGATGGAATAAATCAAAATGAATCTGTAAACTGTTTCTTTAATTAATGAAGTAGCAGTTAGTCAAACAATGCAACTTTCGACGTTGAGCCGGGGGTCTTTTTAGAAACAGTCTCTCTACTTTTGAGTAGGGGTAAGATCTGCGTATACACACCTTCCCAGACCCCACTCTTGTGGGATTTAATTGGGTTGTTATTGTTGTTGTTCAATGTCTCATGTAAAAAATTGACATTTTATACTTTCTTGACATTGTATATTACATTACTTATAACATTTTATTAACTTGTTATAAAAAACAATATTCCCTCCATCCAAAAAAGATCTTAAGTTTACTATTCATATGATCAAATGTTTCCATCGCACGTGGTCAAAATCTATTTTTATTAAACTTTTGACAGAATAATATAATCATGTCATTTATTATTTTATAACAAGTACTTTTTTTGAGGGAATATAGCAAGTACTTTTGATATAGTTTTTAACATATAAATTCTATTTTTTATCTCCCAAAAAGATCTTTATGTACATTGTCATTGTTGCGCCATCATACAATTTTGTATTGTTTTAATGCCATCATTGGAAAGTAGGACATCTAAAAAACATGCAGCGATCGATGATTTTTTAGTCCTTTCATTTGCAAGTGACTATAGAGGCCGTTGCATTTAAAATGTGGGAGGGGAGTTGTTTTGAGGTTTGTTAGAAAAGCATTGTATTGTTAATCGTGTCAGTAGCTGTCTCGGTCATCTCCCGGGCAACGCCACAAGGATGGAAGAACTATGAGAGAATAAGGGTGAAGACTAGAGTTCGTTTGATTAGAGCACAAGCAAAATGGTAAGTGAAACTCATATTTAGGAATTAGGAATAAGAGTGCTTCTATGGTGCAACATGAGTGCATAATATTTTTGTGGTCCGTCGTCTCACATTGTTAAAATTCCGGCGGGCCGATAACAACGGATGGAGTGTCGGGTAAAATTAACCACTTGCATATAAAGTCGGGATCCACAATTCTAACCCAAAAGCTTAAGCTGATGGGTAGGGCTTCACCCTTCAATATATGCAAGTGATACTCATCTTTATTTTCTGATGTGGGAACTCCAACACTCCCCCGCAAGTGGTAACTAGCCTGGCCTAGTTAGCACTTGGACAAACGGGTCTAGCATCTCAATCTCTTATAGCTAGCCCACACAACGGGCGGTGGCATCTCAATCTCTTTTTAGCCAACTCAGCCCAAACCACAGACGGGGTAGCTCATTTTTGCTAAACCCACATCCAAACAACCAGGAACAATCAAACCCGGACCGGACCTGCTCNCTTTATTTTCTGATGTGGGAACTCCAACACTCCCCCGCAAGTGGTAACTAGCCTGGCCTAGTTAGCACTTGGACAAACGGGTCTAGCATCTCAATCTCTTATAGCTAGCCCACACAACGGGCGGTGGCATCTCAATCTCTTTTTAGCCAACTCAGCCCAAACCACAGACGGGGTAGCTCATTTTTGCTAAACCCACATCCAAACAACCAGGAACAATCAAACCCGGACCGGACCTGCTCTGATACCATGTTAAAATTACCATGTTAAAATTCTGGCGGGCCGATAACAACGGATAGAGTGTCGGGTAAAATTAACCACTTGCATATAAAGTCGGGATCCACAATTCTAACCCAAAAGCTTAAGCTGATAGGTAGGGCTTCACCCTTCAATATATGCAAGTGATACTCATCTTTATTTTCTGATGTGGGAACTCCAACACACATAAAAAAATTTATTTAAAAAAATAAATGCTTATTGAAAGAGTAAAAAATTGATTATTTTATTCATATGTAAGTCCATGGTGGACCTTAGGTCCACATAGGATTTGCTTAAGGTAGTGTTTGCCAATTAGCATTTCATTTCAATTCTAAAATTTAAAATCTTGAATTTCAAATAACAAGGGGAGATACATGGATTTCAAATTAAGCTTTGCTGTGAATGAGAAGAATTTGACTCAATTTCAAATTCAAAATATTTAAGTTTTTCAAACATAGAATTTCAGCCAAATTCAGATTTGAAATCTAAATCCATATTCCTATAGGGCTCATTAGTTTGGAATATAATCTATGCTTTACCCATTAGAGGAACAAAAAAAACAGAAAAGTCCAATTTTTTCTAAATAAACCTTTTTTTCCTCCAAAATTTTACAACTTTTTAAATTGTGTTTTGTTCAATAAATTTTACCATAAACGACTCAAATAAACGTCTAAAACGCAAAATTATATCATTTTTGTTCTAACATCAATAACTACAATGGTTCAAATGAAGAACTCTCAACAATGATATTCAACACATTATTGGTACTACAGAGTATTATACTCCCTCCGTCCCAAAAAGTTTGTTACGTTTAGAAAAAACTGCGTCCCATAAAGTCCGTTACATTTCTATTAAAAAACCACTTTTACCCCTTACTTTTTCATACCCTACCTATCACATCATACCTTTTTTCTAATAATCTACCATCACATCCTACTTTTACCCATCACATCAAGGGTATTTTTGGAAAGTCAATACCAAAATATCCCTCCCTTAATTTCCCAAAAAGTCAAACCGTCCCATTCTTTTTGGGACGGAGGGAGTATTTCTTTTGTCTATGTGTATTTGCATACTTTCTTTTACGCAGGAAAAAGATAAAAAAAGAAGGATAAAGAACAAATGTATTGGAACATCTCAAAAAGAATACATGCATCAATGATCATGCATGGCAGATACATTGGAAGTAGCTAGTTCCCTTTAACATGTATTTGTTCAATTTTTTTTAACAATCAAAATGAAGATACATTGATTATTAATTAAATAAAAAATACATTGCATAGTAAGATAATAAAATACCCCATTCATTTAGATTAAATTTTCCGTTTTTAGAGTTTCAAATGTCAAATAGATCCGATCAAATGGTTTTCACTCAATCATATTAACAATCTCTATGATATTTTAGTCAATTCGTAATAATTTCTTACCTAAATATGAAAAGTAGTTGACTAATTTGAACAAACAAAAATTTAAAAGTTACACTGTAGCAATAAAACTGGAGTGAATGAAAAACTATTGTGGCTTATCGAAAGAAATTATAAATGATGGTTCATCAAAAATTTCACTTACATATTCTTCCTTATTTTTTAGCCTTAACAACAATTATTTTGTTATTGTGGCTCACTTTGCTCTTATGATATGGGTCTTTCAATTTTTTCTTTAGCTCTATTAACTTTTTTGCTTATTCAACGAGCAGACAATAAATATGGTTACCACGTGCAAATTTTTATCTTTTATTTTCTTCCCTCGTGCACTCGCCACAATATTTTAAAATTATTTTAAAATATTATGTTAAATAATCAAAAATAATTTTTTCGCGAAAAACTTTTTTTTGCTGGCAAACAATAGTAAACATTTTTTTTGCATTTTATGTGAAAACCATTTAATTCCAATGCGTGGAATGGGGCATTTGAAGTTTCTTGCAGAAGGTTCCTAGGGGAATTGGCCGTTACTAGTTCCACTCCAACCAAAATCATCGTCGAAGAGAAAAGGGAATCAAACATCTGTTTCGATTTCATTCTAAATGGCGAGCAGCGGCGGAGAAGAAATAAAGTTCAGCGCGGTGGTGCGCATGTTGGAGTTGATGCAGAGGAGCAAGCGGGAGAAGAAGAAGAAGCCGAAGCAGACCTACTTCCGGAAGTTTCTGGACAATTACTGCCGGAAACCTCAGGACTACTTCGCCTCAATGCGGCTGATCCTCCCCCGCCTCGACCGCGACCGCGGCTCCTACGGCCTCAAGGAGCAGGTGCTCGCCACCTGCATCATCGACGCCATTGGCATGTCCCGCGACTCCGACGACGCCCGCCTCCTCCTCAACTGGCGCAAGGCCGGCCCTAGGGCGGGTCTCAATGCCGGAAATTTCTCCCTCGTGGCTGCCGAGGTACCAAACTACCAATCTCCCCTCGAACCAACAACCTAGCGGTGATATTGATTCACCAAATGCAAATATAGTACCAAATCACTAAGATGAAAATCAAATGAGCCAGCACCTTCTACTTTTCTAGAAATTTGAAAAAAAATTGAGCATTGATTGTCAAACTGTCACGCCATAGTTTATGATGAACTTTAGACTGGATGCCAACTTCCCTAAGCAAGCTGTATCCTCATCCTCAGTTGTCAGTGAAACGGATTTTCCTGTCATATAGTAGATACCATGTTATTTGGTGGCCAAGCCCAAATCAACATTTGAAAACGTATCTGTACTTGCAAAATTGCAATCCATATTCATCAAATATTTATCAAGTGCTCTTTGAGCACTTGATAACCAGAATTTCTTCCTAACACGGTAACACCATTGTAGTGGCTGGTTACGCTCACAGAAAAGACCTTGCCTGACTTAGTGATGGTATGCTAAGTGAACATTCCACCCAGCCTTTTACACTGGTTCAGATAATAAAATGTCTCTTTTTGCCACATTATTATCTAGTGGGATTCCACAAGTTGCATCAAATTTTTTAGTGATATTGATGGGATTACAATGTAATATCTGTTCATACTTGTCTCAAGCTAATGAGGCACAAAGAGCCAATGCCTCTGTCGAACCTCGGTGAACTTCACCATGAATCTTGAGAATGAACTTCCTACCACTCAAGCCAGGGGAGAAGTTCAATTAAATTTAGCATCCTTGAGGAATTCCAACATTTATTCTCTTTGTCAGTTTGTGAGATAGATCTATTTTCTGGGGCGTCACACATTATATATCCATACAGTCAATTATGGTATTCTAGACACAACCGTTAAGTAATTACTTGTGTGGAAGAGGGGGCAGCCCTTGGCTCGAACATAGATACACATTACTTGACTCTACCCACCTTTTCATCCTGTTCATTTTTTCCGAAGTTCTTCTCAAATTGAAAATTGAAGTTCACTTGAGCTCGACCAATCTATATTTCTCTAACACGAGTGTGGCTCGTGTTAGAGATCGAACTATTTGAGCTTGACTCTAATAAGTTGTAACAACAACAATCAAGCTTCTATTAAGTTGAACTGAGACATTTATTTTCTCATATACTAAACAAAATTTATAATGGTTAATACTAGCCACTAGGCAGCCACATACTATATCAAAAACATTTTAAATTGCGTAGCATGTAACTGTTATTAATTATTAATAAGTAGAAAGTAGTCTACAAGAAGTTGGTAGATAGTAGAGACGAAGAGGAGAGAAGGTTGAAGTGTGACGTGTAAGAGATTGAAGGAGAGAAGCGTAGTTTGCAATTTCAATTACAAAGAATGCAACTTTTGAACAATTGTATTAAAATCTAAAAGAAAAAAGATGGGAGAAACTATTATTCTAGTTGACTAATGTAAGAGAGAGATTCAATCAAAGCTAGGTGTGTGAAGAACGAGAATGACATTAAGCTAAAGGAAGCAACAATAATTAAAGATAAATAATAGTCCTATTTCCATACCCTTTTATTTACTAGAGGGGAGAGTTTTGGGTGAGTAAGAACATTTTGATGGTCATGGAGATTTGAGGTATTGTAGGCATATTTGGTTGGGAAAGTGGTATTGGCCATGAACAAAATGAGGAGTGGAAGAGTGATGAGACTAAGCAAGATCCAACAATGTTTTGGAAGACTGTTGGCTGAGTGGGGATGATGTGGTTGATTGAGTTGTTTATTGTCAATTTGTCATTCTCGAGACATGTTTGATGTCGTAAAGAGGAGGAACAGCCGGTAATAATATTGTATAAGGGAAAATGCGATATCCAAAATTACAATAATTATAGGGCATTAAACATATAAGCCACACCATGAAGTTTGGGGAGCATGTTGTAGAGATGAGAATGAGAAAAAGTTGTCTTTACGAGAACCAATTTGAAATCTTCCGGACGGTTGACCATAGAGGCATAGAGGCCTTCCACCTTTTGAGGAGGTTGATGGAGTAGTATAGGGCATCCGCCAATTTAGATTCAAATTATGCTAACCTGCACATTGGTGTTATGGACTTGGAGAAGACATATGACAAAGTCTCAAAGGAGGTATTGTGGGTGTACTTGGAGTATAGAGGAGTTTGCTTACATTAAAGTAATTAAGAACATGCACAATGGAGAAAAGATGAGCGTGAGGTTGGTGGGAGGAGACTCAGGTATGGCCGGTGAAGAACACACATATTATGTGTCAGAAAAATAGAAAGGCAAATTTTATTGTGTAATGGTTAGACTGGCTATGTTACACGAGCCAATGTATGTGTGCAAGTGGCAGATATCCAAAAATTGAGGGTGGTGTGCATGCATACGAGGATGGATAGAGTAAGAAGCGAGGATGCGCTAGACAAGGAGGGAGTCACATCTTTAGACGCAAAGTGCGAGAACCTAGATTGACATAGTCTTGGTCACGTGCCAAGGAGTTCTGATGGTCGAGTGAGTTGCTGGGAAAAGTTGGAGGGATGGGGGATTTGAGGAGGTGTTGAGGTAGACTGAAAAAGAGTTGGAGCGAAATGATTGGGGACAGGACTTGGGCCTTTTCAGCTCACCGAGGATATGGCCTTAGATAAGATAACATGGATATGAGTGATTAAAATGGTATGGCAGGCTTAAATAGAAGTGCATGTGTGGTTGTGTGCATTACCCTTAGGTTTAGTTTGATATAGTGGCAAGTTGCTTGACCTTTGTCTCTCTTTTAATTTCCATTGTTTAATTGTGCTTGGTGCTATGTGTGCTCTTGTGATTTTTAATTTTTCTTGCTTTTTTTGTGTGTGCTCGAGCTGGAGGTACTCTCCGAAACCACATTTTTAAAACCTTTTTATAGGTAGGAGTATTGTTTGCGTACTCCCACTCTCGGACTCCATTTAAGGAATTTTACAGGGTTGTTTGCTTTGTTCGTTTGTATCTAGGATATTTTTATAGCATCAAGTAAATTTGGATTGTATGAAATATAAAAAGATTGAAAATGCTCGCGAGCCGCTCCAGCCAGAGTGGTAACCACTTAAGTTGTTGAATTTGGTTCGATGTGACCCCTAATTTCTAACTGAGGTTGCTTTAAAGGTTGAAATGTCGATTAAACTATTAGTGAAATTGATATATTGCCCTTGACTTTTACTCTAGTAAAGTGAGGCTGAACTAGGTGGAGATTTTTAGAGCAATTTTCCTGTATATATGAAACCTATGCCTTTCTTACTATGTTCAATCTACGAACCTGCAACGGTTTCACTAAAAGCGTGCAATTTACCATATTCATTCTACAAATATTGCCATCAGCGCCATGTTGCCATCATCATCATTAACACCTTAATCCAAACTAGTGTGGGCTAGTGATGTTTTCTTATTAGTCGTATAAAATTACGTAACACTGACAATTCATGTAAAAGACAGCGGATGTTTCACCCCAGATGCCCTTCCTGTCGCAGCCTTCATAAGAATGAATATTGAGATGAAATTTTAAATCTGCCACTATATTATTCCTACAAGCATGGAATATTTCATTTGATGGTGATGATTTGAGATCTTTCATAAGTCTTATGTTCTGTATGGTTTTTGTTTTGTTTTGGTTTTGTTTTGTTTTTTCCTCTTGTATTTAGGCTTTAGAAATTTCTTCTATATTATCTCTTCTAGAACTAATCTCTTTGTAAAGTGTTTCCCTTCCTGTGAAGGAATTTGGCAATTTGCCAAAACATCCAGGAAATTCTGATTTTTGTCCCCCCTCTTCTGGTTCTGTTGATATTTCTGACAAATTTACTGTCATTCATTTGGAGTGAATGGGTCGGACATTGGAAGAGTTCATGTCAATGTTTACGAGTTCACCCTAAAGACGGATCCTTTTCTCCAAAAAAAAAATTATTCTTGGTTTTACTAACTATTGGTCTTCCCTTCATAATTTTTCTTTACTTTGGATAAGGCTTGTTGTTTTCATTAATTTTTGTTGTCTTCAATTCATGGATAGGTACTAGAACGTAGACAGGGAGTTTCTTCTGCTGGGCTAACAATAAAAGAATTAAATCACTTCCTCGATTCCTTAGCTTCAAGTGCTAACAGGTAAGTTGGTGTATGTCTATGGTTGAATTATAAATGGTCTTATCTACATAGACTACTTTGAGTATTACAAAAATTATCTTCTTGCACACGCTAAAAGGTCCCTAGATACCTATTTTATTGATGGATCTGTATAATTTCTTAAATACAATTTTAATTGACAATTCTTTAGGGGTATTTGCAAGGATCTTTTTTTATTTGCTTGATAGCTTCAACCAAAAGTGAACAAAATACTCCTCTTTGCAGTATTTCTTAGATACATTCTCATAACATTTTCAGAACTTGGGGTTTTTTTAAATAGGAAAATTTGCACTAAATAATCCCACCTTTCAACTTTGTGGTCTACATTTTCCGCTACCTTTAATTATGCATCATTGATATTAAACATTGTTTAATAACAATGTTAGAATACATGATATATCACTTGTCATAAGTTGAGATATGTGTTTGAATTGGCATAATTGTGGTTGTGGGGAATATTGTGCGAATAGTGCATGATGTGATGCAAAAATAAGGGTTGATTGTGACATATTCAACAAAGTTAAAAGGGGAGATTGTTCCTTGCTAACTTAAGAGGTGAGACTATTTTGCAAAGATTGGCCAACCGCCAAAGGAAATACTGGTATTTTTTATTTGAAAACAACCGCCAAAGGTAATATTATTAGTAGGACTTCTAGATACATTTTTTTTATAATGGCAGGGGTAGAGCTAGCAAATCAGTTGGTCAGGTCGGGTTCGGGTTCAGTTACTTTGGGTTCAAGTCAATTCAGGTTTGGATTGAGAACTTATGTTCATGACCCAATGTCTTCAGGGTCGGGTCGACCCAATCAGTTATGATTTTGGTTTTTAAAATTTTTAAATTCACTTCAACTCCTGTATTTCGCATTAAATAAAATTAAAACATCAAAAAATATGTATTAAATCTTTTATATTAATTTATTTTAAATTCAGAAGTAATTTTTAGGTATATAAATTAATATAAAGAATTAAAAAATGCATAATTTTTTTGGAAAAAGTGAGATAATTATGCAATATCATTAAAGTATTGTGTGAAAGTATAAATTTATACATAAAAATGAGTAGTAAAAAAAATATAACTATACCCTTATTTTTATAACATTATATTTCATAGTAAAGTATATGATTTTGAAAAACTCTTACATTAGCGAGTCGGTCATGTCGGGTTTGGGTTCGGTCAGGTTTGACCCTTTTATAGCGAGTCATTTTGGGTTCGGTCAACAAAACCTTTGTTCAAAACCCAGTGTTTTTGGGTTGGGCTTCGAGTAAAAAACAAGTCAGGTCATTTTTTGCCAGGTCTAGGTAGCGGTGTGATAATATATATGATATTAATGACACTCCGGTGTTTTGGTCCCTACTTGTGCCTCGTTGGACCTAGGACTACCTCCCCTTCCCTTACCCACCCATATGGGCGTGGCCACGCTCATGCATCCCATTGCTGACCCACAATCCTCCGGGTCAAACAGAGCACCGTGTTTGTAGGACCCTCGAAAAGTCCAGTGCCCATATAATGGCACCCATACACTTAGCACCGGTGTACTAAGCCCTTTTACTCTTTTAGTAATCAGTTAACTAAAGGTATAAGGAAACACCAACCCTCCACCTCTTGTAACCTAGTCTGCACACACATTTCTTGATGTAACTAGCCTACCAACCTACCTTCTCCCTGATGGCCTGACCTGTCCCACCAACTTTTGCCTCAGCTTTGGACCCTATTTAATCTTGTGATTAGCTACCACACAAGCCCTGCATTACCTTTTATTTTCTTTTAGAGCAAAAAGAAAATGTTACATAAATGGGCTCATTTTTTAAGATATTGAACTGGTAGAAATACTAGAGAGTTTTTCTTAAATTTATATGTTGTTTTGTGTATACTATTGATACATGTGGCAATATGACTTTTATAAGGGACTTGTATTTGTCTAATGACTTTGCTAACACACTATACTTTATATCTTCAAAAATGATATTTTGCGAAAATGACAACACACTTGTATATTTCATTTTGTGTGCAAAACTCTGTTTGAGGCGTTCTAATATAGATATTTCCTTTTGTTTTTGTTTATGCCTTTCATGTTGCCTCTGCATTATGATTGAATATGCAAATGAATTTAGGTTTATGTGCCACCTGGCTAGTTCTCTCTTAGTGAATTCATACAGCTATTCCATTGCAACAGATCTGAGAAGACTGCCATTCTTTCTGATCTCATTAGGAGAACGAATGCCAATGAAATGAAGTGGATTATTATGATAATTCTCAAAGGTTCTCTGATTTTAATAATAACTCACTGACTTAATAGTTGTGTCTTGAATTCACATCATATATTCTTCATTATAAAATTTTCACAACTTTTTTCTTCAGATCTTAAGGTGGGAATTGGTGAAAAAAGCATTTTTCATGACTTCCATCCGGATGCAGAAGACTTGTTCAATGTTACGTGTGATTTAAAACTTGTTTGTGAAAAGTTGAGAGATAGAAGTCAACGACATAAGCGCCAGGTTATTCAGGATTCAGGATTCCGTATTTTTGCCCTCTTTACGAATATATATTAGCATGGGTTCAACCTTATTGTCATCTTATAATACGTGCCATTAAAATATGCAGTGCACATCTTTATTTCAACAATGAACTTATTGGCCATAATTTCATACTCCGTATTATGATTATGTGATTGTAAACTAGGATACATTGTTTTTTACTACCGTTGAAGTAATAGCATATCAGGATAATATTTATTAATGATAAACTCATTGTTGCGTCAATCAACATGCAAATGAACACTAAATGGGTTTCTGCAGGACTTTAGGGAAAATTACTTCCTATTAATGGATATATTAACAGTTTAAAATACATCAGTTGAAGTATGAATAATGCAATACAATATACGGAGTATAGTATTCTTGAGTTATGTCATTTGAATCCTCCGAGTTAAACTGGCTTTACCTATGCTCTCAAATCAAACCACACCAATCAGTATACTCCGGTATTACTTTATTTGACACAAATGATGAGAGGATGGATGGAGCAAGGTTAAAATTATTATGTGAAAAATATAATTGTTCCTCTATTATCTTTCTGACCACATAAGGTTGCCTTCTAAAGGCGGGGAACACTGAACAGCATATTGATTATTGACCCAGAATAAGCTAGTTTTTTTTTCATCATTTTAAAAATGATTTCTTGTCTGTATTGCAACCATCGGCAAAAAGGGGTATGTTAACATTGCAATCTACCGTCACAGGATATTGAAGTTGGAAAAGCTGTGCGGCCTCAATTAGCTCTCAGGGCCAACACTGCTGATGTTGCATGGAAGAGGGTTCTCTTATGTTTCTTTACTTTTTCTAGTGCTCACCAGATAACTGTTTACTTTCCATGAGTCTAAATTCCATTTGCTTAACTCCTTGCCCCTCACAAATGAATAGCTCCGTGGGAAAGAGTTTGTTCTTGAGTGCAAGTTTGATGGGGACCGCATTCAAATTCATAAAAACAAAGATGAGATTCACTTCTTCTCAAGGTGAACTTCCATGCCGATGCAGAACTTACCGTTGTTTTTACTCATCTATTTAATGCTCTTCATCTTAAAACTATTGGTATCATTTTTATGATAATGATGTTTCTCTAAATTCAGTCATGTTCCATGATGTGCATGTCGATTGTACAATATCAATAAGTAGTGAGGCAAGACTCTAACAACTATCTCAATTCATATTCATCTTTTGATGTCTTCCATGTAATTGAAGAATCCTTTGATGATGATTGATTTTAAAAATCATTTCATAATTTCCTAATTTATAAGGCTGCGATATTGACATGGATTTATAGTGTTGACTGATTTCAAACAATTAATTGAGACTAAATTGCATGCCACCTACTCCACTGTAGCTGGGATGATGATTATGTTTGTGGTAGAAATTACATACGAGTATATGCTCTATAGTTTTTTATTCTAGTCGATCAACCTATTTTGATTGTGGTAGAATACATTGGGTTTGTTGTTGATCATCTTATTTTTTCTTTCTGGGTAATATTTTTGCAGAAATTTTTTTGATCATCTAGAGTATGTACATGGAATGTCAGAGATCATTGTACAGAATATTCTTGTTGAGAAGTAAGTAATTTGACATTCTTGATGCTAAAACCTTCAATATCTGCCTTATTTCTAGCTATTTTGAATCATGTATTGTAATAGGAACTTCCACTTTTCCATTTATTTTATCTCGTTTCACGTCTTGAGGGGCCAACTCAACATTACTTTTACCAGCTGTTTAAGATTCTTTTCTTCAATTGTGTACAGTAATTTTGCTGCTCGTAACATACTCACTCCATCCCGCTCTGGTTTTCCATCTTTGAATTTTTTAGGCAAAGATGGAAAACTTTGAGTAATAATTTTAGTTGATACATTTTAGTGAAATTTTTAAATTTGTACTTTTATGGAAGTATTCTTAACAAAGAATTTTTTTATATTATTTTCATATTATGAATGATTTTTTATTTTTGTCAAAGTTTAACAAGTTTGGATCAAAAAGTCTAACATAGAAAATCCCAGCAGGACAGAGGGAGTATAAGAATTGTACCTACATGTTGAACTTATTAGTATCAAACATGAATTGACCTTTCTCAAATAGGCAAATAAAACAGTTTACATGACACCTAAGAGAGGAAAGAGCTAGCGATTTAGTTGCAACCTTTTTTAGTTACTTCTACATTTCCACACCCAATTCCTTGTTGAAGGGAAACACCATTTTCTATTTCGGGCTACCTTGTCTATCATTTCATAATCTCATCAATATTCTAATATACACCTGTAGGACTTTTCGTTAGTTTTTTACTATATAAATTTTATTTTGAGATTTTAATCCTATAATCAAATAAATTAAATTGAAAATAAAGTCGGTCAAGTCTCGTAATCCGTAATGGGAAGATCTTAGGTGGACGGAGGGAATATATGTTTTGTGCTAGGCCTTTACACTGACATTGGGGCACATTATCTCGAAAAACAGGGATAGTTCACGTGATGAGCATGCCTTTACACAAGTTAACTTGATTACTTTTGTTCATATTCTTTGTATCAGGTGTATACTTGATGGTGAAATGTTAGTTTGGGACAGATCTGCTAATCGTTTTGCTGAGTTTGGTTCAAATCAAGAAATTGGTACACTGCCTTTGTGTGTAATTTGTTCTGATAATATTTCTTTATTCATATTTCTCTTTTTTAAATGTCTACCTTTGCAACAGCAAAGGCTGCAAGGGAAGGTCTTGACAGTGATAGGCAGGTTTGTATTGTACTATGAAGTGATGCTGTCTCAGTCTACGGAAAGTTCTCCAATGATAGTTTTTTGTTTTGTTCTGCAGTTGTGCTGTATCCTTTAATCATTTTGTATGATATGTTCTCTCAAGGCTGTTCAAAGAGGGATCATCTTTTTTACCCGGTAGGTTTATGAAATATTTCATGGTTAGACGTGATTGATTGTTTTGCTCTCAACTGCACATCCCTGCTTCTTCTCTTCCTTACCACAATTTGCGAGTAGATGTTGCCTTTGATGTTCTCTATGCTGGAGATACCAGTGTCATTCACCAGAGTTTGAAGGAACGACACGAGCTTCTTCGTAAGGTTGTGAAGCCTGTGAAAGGTAGCTTAGAAATTTTGGTTCCTAATGGTGGACTTAATGTTCATCGTGCTCCTGGTAAGCAGCATTTGATGCTAGTAATTTAAGATTGTAATCTCTATCTTCATTTGATTTACAATTCCAAGATTAGCATCTCCTTTATGGTTCTTACATGAATGGTTTTTATTTTAAAACACCAATTCATATACGAAAGTGCTCCAATAACACGCAATTAACAAATTAACATGTAAGATTCCCTTCCACCTTGTTTGCCCCACTTTCAATGTTGGGATATCTTATGAATATCTATATATTTGAAAATGCCGTTTAAGCCTATATATTAACAAGTTGAGATGAGACTTGAGATTGTAACATTACTAACATCCCCTTCCATCTATATCAATTTTGAAGATACTTGTAATCTATGGCCCATTTAACTCAAGGATATAGGCACTTCACGTATTGTTAATAAGAACTTTATTTCCCTTAGACCCATACAATCTCTCAAAAAGTTATGAGATGAAATTTGGGATGTAGAGAGTTGTAGGAATTGTTTGAATGTGAAATAAGAATCAAAAGAGTTGTAGGAATTATTCCCTTTCAACCCAAACCACACATGATTTTCAGATGGAAAGATTCCACAATAAGACTAACACCTTTATTTGGTTTAATTATTCACAAGGGTACATATATGCATGCGTAGTGTAGTAGAACCAATTTTGAAATTTTTAACAACCCAGTATAATCCTAACTCGGTTGGGGTGTGGGCCCTTTAAAAACATTTACTAGATGCATGTTGCATTTACTGCCCATAACAACCTAAATATTAAGACGCAAGGGAAGTTTAATGTTTCATTTTGATCTAGGCTCTGTTCCGTTCAACTTATTTTTTATGATCTGATCTGATTTTTTGTAGTTCTCTGGTCTGATTTGATCTGATTGGATCTGATCTGGTCTGATTTGAATAATTATGATTTGATTTAAAATTCAAATCAATAATTTGATTTGACTTTATAATAACGTTTGAAAATTGTAATGATAATTCATATTATAATGTAATCAATATTTTTTATTTTATGATTATTTTTTAATGAAATAAAATTAGTTAATTCATATATTAGAGTAATCATTCATATGATAATGTAATAATATTTTTATTTTATTATTATTTTTATGAAATAAGAATATTTATTTATTATTTTAATAATTAGTTCATATATACATTAAAATAAATATTTAATTCATATATACATTAAAAAGTAATAAAATTCATATAATCAATATCAAGAAGAGATAATATTTTTATTAAAATATCTCATCCTTATAAAATATCAATGTGTGCTTTGTATTACAAATTTTTTTTTATGATTAATATAACACCATATATATAATAGTTATTTCAGTTACACTAAAATATACTTTGTATAGGAATATCAAATGTTAATTTTATTTAAGTCATGATCAAAGTTGATCAACTCGATGTAGTAAAAGATCAAAACTTAAGAAACTTAAATTACAGATAGCAATAAAAATGTATTTTAAAAGTAGAATTAGATTGAAGTTGTCAATGTATTTTAAAATTTTTCTGACGTCTAATAATTAAGTATTACTTTCTCAGTTTCCTATTTAACTTGTTTCTTAAGTTTATTCTTTTTTCATTTTTAAGAATAATAATAATATTAATAAATAATAACAACAACAACAACAACAATAATAATAATTCTTAATTGGATCTGACCCGATCCGATCTAGTCTGATCTGATTGGATCTGATTTGATTCGATCTGATCAGATTAGATCTGATCTGGTCTGATCTAATTTTAATAAGAATAAGAAAAAACAGAAAAAATAAGTTGAACGGAACAGAGCCTTAGTCCATAATGATCCCAAAACTAAAACAGTGTCAATAATACTCTGTAACTCTTTTAACACCATTGATAATGTATTGTATGTTGCAGTGTATATATCAAGGATAAATTGTTTTAGCCACGGATGACTTCAAAATCCAACTGGGCAAACAAACATTTGTCAATAAGAACATTTTTTGGTTCCTTGTGAGTTTTTGACGATTTATATGACTGTTGTAAAATCTGCCAATCTAACAATTCTCTTTAGTTTTTTTCTCTAATAGTAATGGTAGTAATAATAATAACGACAAGGTTCTTTTGACCTGGGAACCTAAGGTCATATTACCGTTGGTAAAATTGATGATTCTTACCCATGCCCCTCCCCCTTTGATCTTTGATTTGGGCTGCCAAATCGGCGATCTAGGGGGGGTAGGAACCATCAATTTTACCAATGGAGCACAGTAGGTGCCCCGAATCATAATACGACCTTGGTTTCCAAGGTCAAAAGAGCCATTGTGTAATAATAATGATAGTAATCGTAATAATAATAATTATAATAAAAATATCATGCTTCCGAAATAAAGTGTCACTTGGTTGGTATTTTTTCCTAGAGAAATTTTTCTATTGTGGAGAAATATCGTGTTGAAGTTGCACATACACATTCTTAGTGACTACTTAATCAAGGGCTTCAACATATTTCTGTCTTTTTTTGTACGAACATACAGGCGAGCCATGCTGGTCATTCATTGGTCATAGTCTTGATGACATTGAGAAGTTTTTTAAAGCAACTACTGAAAACAGGTTACTATTTTATTCAATTCTTTGACCAAAGGACCCAAATATCTTCTTAATAGTGTGATGCAACAGTGAAAACAGACTTGTTGTGAGCTTATGCTTAGTGTCTCTGCTGCAAACAAATTCCCTAAGCTTCACCTACAAGCTATGCCTCTCTCCACCCTGTACATATTTTTTTGAGTTGACCTCATCTAGTTTCGTTCATGCCCTGCCTGAGCCTAGTTCTTTTTAGTATACTAGGGCATCATGATGGTTTGCTAGTGCTTCATATAAATTTGCTGCCGTGGTTCTGTATTTTTAAATTTTGAAGAGCTCGTAAGTGAAAGGAGCTTACTTTTCCTCATAACAGAGTTTTAATTCTGGTCTACTTCAGTGACATAAGTTCTAGGCAAAATTATGCATGTAATATAACTGTATATATGAACGGCTCCCTTTTTTTGACAACAACAAATGCTGTCATATTATGACAACAAGGGATACAATGCTCCATCGAAAAATTGATGGTTCCTTTCCCCCTAAACCCCCTGCCCAAAACGTTGATTGGCCAGGGTGGGGGGGGAACTATCAATTTTTCGATTGGAGCATCGTAGCCCTTGTTTGGCTTTGGGGTGTGGTGGAATAAAGAAAAACAGATCTCTAAACTATCTGCACTTCTCTAATTTTATGAAGTAGCAGTTAGTCAATCAATGCAACTTTTGACGCTGAGCCGGGGGGTCTCTTTGGAAACAGCTTCTCAACTTTTGAGTAGGGGTAAGGGTTTGCGTATACACACTCTCCCCAGACCCTACCCTTGTGGGATTCAACTGAGCTGTTGTAGCACCGTAACCCTTGTTTTCATAATATGACATTATTTTTTGTTGTCAAAAGAACCCTAGCGATATACGAAAATAAATTGTTAAAAATAATTTAAATGTGGGTGTTCCATTTTTAATGGATGGCTATTTTTTCCAATTGATAGGGATGAGGGGATAGTATTGAAAGACCTCAATTCAAAATGGGATCCTGGCGATAGGAAGGGAAATTGGCAAAAAATGAAACCTGATTATGTTCGGCCAGAAACTGATTTGGATGTTCTTATAATTGGTGTGTGCTGATTCCAGTTTAATCTTTTTCAATTTTTAAATCCTTATATAAGGACAATACTTTTTTTTAAATGTGCGCAGGAGGTTATTATGGATCTGGACGTCATGGTGGGAAGGTAATGGCTATTTTCGCTTATTTATAATATATCTTATTTGCTTTCATGTTTATTTTGAATTTTTTATGGACAATTAGGTAGCTCAATTTCTGGTGGGTCTTGCAGAGCGCCCTTCTCCAGGCACTTACCCAAGACGGTAATTATTATCATGCATCTTCTTCTAATGAGTGTAGTAGTTTTATGCAGTTTTTTGGCAGGTGGTATGCCTTAGACTAGGTAGCCTGCCACTATCTCAACTTTATCTAACAATAAAAACAAAAGTATTGCCATAAATAAAAATGGTCTTGCCATCAAATTTATTATGTTTTTCAACATAGAATAGAGGATGAATTCAATTAGATTAGTTGTATAGTCCATTGAGAAAATTATGATTTTATTCATGACTCAAGCTGTTATGCCCGGGCCTGGACCCATGAAACTCTCACTCACACCCCACACTTCCATGAGGACCAAAGGACTTATATTCAAACATTATGATCCATTTTAGTTTGAATTCAAAGCTCCTAAAAGTCTAAAACCCGAAAGGCCAAAATGTCCGTTGTTTTGACCCAAGGGTTCTGCTAGCCAACCCCCAACTCCGTCCAATCCAACCCGAAACATCCAAAAGTATTTTATTTCCTTTTGATATCCATAATAAAGTCTTTTCCTTCCTTTTTACAGCCTTGGCGAAAAATAGGACTTAAAAGTGGTTATCTTAAGTGTGAGTTTTAGGTTCTAGATATTTGACTAAGTGTGTCATATCTTAATTAAATTCTAGACTCAAACCCCAAGTAAAGATAAGAGTGTGTAATATCTCTTCACACCAACTTGGTTTTATCTATCCCTGATTTCTTCTATTTCATATATTTTCCATTTCTTCTTAATCTTATTTTTTTTCTTCCATTAAAAACACCAAAAAAACTCTTTCATCAGCCATTCCCAACATATACACCACCATTTTCTACCCATTTCAAAGCCCAAAACACCAACTTCATAAGACCCTCGGTCCTCCCCTAACATTTGGTATCAAAGCCTGTTGTTTCAACATCCCTCAAGGGCCAAAATTCTCCCCCCTCTCTCATTTCTCCTGGTTTTGTTCAGCCAAGAGGTCTCACAAAACAGCCCTACCCCAAACCCAAAACCTTAACATCTTCCTTCCTCTTTTGGACTATTTCGGCCAAAAGGAAACCCCAAGCCAAACCACCTCGCCAAACTAAACAGCCCTAATCCTACCCCAACCCATCTCGGCCAAACCAATCAAAATACCATCCCCTACATCTTCTCTTTTAAAACATTTCACACCATCCAAAACATGTCCCATGAAGATCTAGTAGCTGATAAAAGAAAACTAAAGAAGGAGCTTGATCTTTTGATGAAGAAGATTGGAGAGTTCACAAATTCAGTGGACATTCCTACTTTTGAAGGAAGAAATGACCCGGAACCGTTCTTAAAATGGTTAGCTAAGGTTGAACACGTCTTTACACTCAAAGACGTACTCGAAGACAAGAAGGTCAAGCTAGTGGTGGCGAAGTTTCAAAAACATGCCTCCACTTGGTTGGGCTAGCATTGCTGCTTAACGGAAGCTTCAAGGAAAAGCTAAGGTGAGAACTTGGGAAAAGATGCAAAAACTCTTAATAAAGAAGTTTTTTGCCTAGAGATTATACCCACAAAATACCCCAAACATCTTCCACCTTTTTCTTTAAAACACATCCTTATTCTATGGCCTTAAACACCACCAAACCCACATCCATTGCCACTACCCAAATGAGTAATGTGTCCGTAGATTTCAACTTAGTGTTATCATTTTCCCACCTATTTCCTGAATGTCTACATCCATTTAGTCCTTCAAATGTTGTTTCTTATATACTCTTTGCGTTATTTTTGTCTCATCAACTATCTGCAAAGTCAAACTAAATCATCATAGTATTCGATGATGACTCTTCTTTTGAAAAATCTTTATGTAGTGTTTAAGTATATAATTTTTATTTTTAAATTTACACCAATATGTTGATAAATTCTATTAAAAATGTTGTAGTAAAACATCGTAAATCAAAATGGGATAGAATGTGCTGGAGAGTCACAGAGGGAGGATTTGAATAACTCCTTGGCAAATATGGAGTATATATTACTCCTATTCAAGATGATGAAGAAGATGCCATGAACGATGACTTTAATACCAAAGATAATATTCAATGATGACTGATTATTACTCCCTCCGTCCCAAATTAAATTGTCGGTATACGGTTCACAGGGTCAAACTTCATTTACTTTCTTTTTCTATTTTCGTTAGTCATTTGATAAAATAATATAGTCATGTCATCACAAGTATTGTAGATCTTTTGATCTAGTTTTTAAATATGTAATTTTTATTTTTTTAATTCTATACCATTTTTCTTATAAAATGATATGAAAATAATTTCAGTCAAACATCGTAAACCGAAACAGACAATTTAAATTGGGACGGAGGGAGTATTATTCAATGTTTTGCAATTTTATCCAGAACGTTTGTGTTTGTTTGTCGAGATAGAATGCTTATTACCATTTATTTGCATGTTATTGTTACTATTTATGGCTATTTGTTCTAAATTTAAGTTGTGCATGTGTAATACAAAGTAAGTTTTAAATATAAGCTACTACTCTAGGACCTTAAGATCCGAATATCCGGTTTATGATCCCCCAACTCCCTCCGATCTTAGCTAGGAATCTTGTGTTAGCCTTCTACTGGAGTTTTACATGCACTGTGTTCATTGACCAATTAATGTTAACTAGTTTGATTGAACGTTCCATTAAGAAAGCAAAGGTACACAAAAACATTAGCTGTGTTATAGGCAATGTGGATGTATTTTTTGGAATATTAAAGTTGGGTTGAGCCATAAAGGAGGGAAAAAGAAATCACTTTAGTTTTATTACAGTATTATATTGGACAGGTTCAAACTTGAAACTTGTTTAGATTTTTGTGCATGCTAATGGTGTAAAGTTGCAGGGTTCTGATGCTTTACATTTTCAAGACTAATTACTCTAGTATCACTGTTTTGCAGATTCATTTCTTTCTGCAGAGTGGGCACAGGACTCTCAGATGAAGAGCTTGATGCTGTTGTGACCAGATTAAAACCCTATTTCAGGTGGTGTTTTATCAAACACTATTCATACTCTTGCACTCAGGCCATTGTTGTTTATACACTTTTCCAATCAAAGTTATTTTTATGAAGTGGATCTATTTTTTGCATCTTATTTAATTTCCCTTTTGAAACTGTGTTGATCAATGAGCTTCACCAACCTTTTTTCTTATACAGACTACCTATTACTTGTTCAGCCCCTCTTTAATCTTATCACTCTCCTCTTTGATCAGTCCCTAATTAATCTTCTCATTTCTCTTCAAAGAGCGACTTGTGGGGTTGATATTGATTTTTTTCTTTTCAAAATAATCTCAACCACACAAAATCATTTTCTGAAACTCCATGCAATATCAAACAAGGTATTTAAATAGTGATAGAGGGTCTTTAAAAAATAGTGATAGAGGAGTATTACAATTCATGCTTAGTGTGGTGAGAGTGAACTCATATTCCATTCTTGTCATCTTGGTTTACACCATTAGCATTACATAGTAAGGATTTTGTTCATTTTAAAAAATGTCAAACTGGTAATTTGTTTGTGTGTGTATGTGTTTTTTTTGCTTATGTAAATTCATATTACATGAGTTTTGTATAACTTTCTTGACAGGAAATATGAGTTCCCAAAGCAGACACCACCAAGTTTCTATCAAGTAACAAACAACTCAAAGGAAAGACCAGATGTCTGGGTGGAAAGCCCAGAAAAGTTGGCCACTAGTCCTCTTGGAACATTCTTAGTGTTTTTATTGTAAAATAAATCTATAGGCTTGTTACCTTATTGCTTTTCTTCACCTACATGCAGATCAATAATTGTCTCTATCACCAGTGACATCCGAACAATCAGTTCTGAGGTATTCAAGTATTTCTTGTCATTACTATAGTTACTAGATGGGTTCATTTCAGATGACTGACCTCAGGAATATTTTGAAGCCTGATATTTCAAATTGTGATTTTTTTTCTACTAAGAAATAATGGGATGTTTTCTCAACCATCACGATTTATTCTATTTGGAACGTTATATTGCAGGTATTTTCTGCACCGTACAGCTTGAGATTTCCACGTATTGACTGTGTTAGATATGACAAGCCCTGGCACGACTGTCTTGATGTGCAAAGTTAGTGTTTAATTTCATGTTATTTGTTCTACTAGTCCAATTTCTATGGTTCTTCTCTCTTTGCCTAGAAAAAACAATTTGTAGATTGTATATGGTGTGTGATAGGCCTGGGCGTGTGACTTGTGATTTTGGGATACAATTGGGTTGTTGTTTCATTTGCTGAAGTCCATTTACAAGATAAACTATCTTGCTGTCTTAGGTTTTGTTGAATTGGTAGATTCAAGCAATGGTACCACTCAGAGAGGGACAAACTCGGGAGGGGCAAAGGGTCCTGGAAGAAAGCATATCAAGCTCAAGAGCCGTGAGAGGAAGAATGCTTCACTTGTTCCTTCTCATTTCATACAAACAGATGTCTCTCAGATTAAGGGTGAAACATCAATATTTTCTAACACGGTATTTTGTATCCAAAGTCTTACCGTGTATGCATTTTGTTTTTATTGCATCATACTCCTTCCATCCCAAACTTTTTTCCCTTTATACTTTTTTTGTCCGTCTCACTGTTTGTATCCCATGCCATATTTGGTAATGTTTGTATTTCACATTCACTTTACTTTTTCTTTCTTCTTAAGATCAATATTGACCATACAATTTTTCTTTTCTTATCATGCATGCTACTACATGTGCACTAGTTTTTGGCCTGGTTTTATGTCCATCATCTGCATTTTTTATTTTACAATAAAAATGATGTCTTGTTGTTGACTCCATCTGTCCTGCAGTATTTGTCCATTATTCTTTTTTGTGTTATAATAGACAACATAAATGGAAAGTCTATTATAGTATTATACCCTCCATAATTCTATCAACCTTCCCCTACCTTTTTCCAGTCTCTCATCCACAGTTCCGCCATTGTCGTGACCATTACTGCATCCTCCACGATAAACATTACTGCAATACCACGGCGAATCCGGCGATGCCCACAACCACCGGACTGAGAGGATTGGGATGTGTGGATTGATTTGCTGAGGGGTTTAGGTTTGAGCTTGTTAGTTGGTTAATTGACAGATTCTTCATGCTAGGATGGATTAATTGGCAAAATCTTCAAGATGAAGTACTTGCTGTTAATAGGCATCTAATTTTCTTGTCTATTTCTACATGACTACATCTTTGCCTGCAAATCTCAAATTGGAACTTTGGAAGTACACGTTAGCCTAGATCTACTGGTGCTCGCCAACGTAATGGGCTGCAGGAGGCAGAAGAATGGTGGAGGGAGTTGGAGTGGGTTGTGCTGCAGCGTGCTGGAGGAAGGAGGAGGAGCTGGGCTGTGATGGATGGGGTAGGGAAGGATACCCAAAAAAGGGGGTATTTGGGATATTCTTCACCTCACTTTGGTCTTTGTGCCAACAAGAACCGGACAAACACTCTAGGACGGATGGAGTTTTTATTGGTTGTGGAGTTTTAGACAACTTGCTATATGAAGTGCTATAGTAAGTGTTTTTTCTGGGGTAGAGTTCTTTCAGGGAAAGCCACATAATTTAGTGCTACTCTGGTAGTAGTCCCGCCCTTATAGGATTAACATATCTACATTGTGATGGTTGCTGAGATGATTGAACTGCTGAGCTCTAGTCCTAAATCCTATTTCCTCATACAGTTAGTAATATTCATCTTCCAGTTCGTTATTTAGTTATTTTATGAGATATGAAGCAAATTCTTATTCTATGGCATTCATATACACCCCAGTCCCATAAAATTATTTAAACTTTTGTTTATGGATGTTCCAAATTTTATTTTATACTTTATTTCCTATTTTGGTAATGAGAATGTGGCTACCACACAATTCTAACCACACAATTTTTACTTTTTAACAACTTTCTTAAACACCGTGAAGTCAAACCATTAGGAATTTAAAGGGACGGCTGGAGTATTAGAGATGTAGTTAGTATCTACTGAGTGTCATTCTATCCTAATTCAGCCATGATCTTTATTATGAAACTTTAAATGTCAATCTATCCTTGACAAATAAAGACTTTGCTAATGTGCCGTCATCACATAGCTTGGATTTGTTGCACAAAATGATTGTTGAACATGGAGGCACTTTCTCAATGAATTTGAACAACTCCGTCACTCATTGCATTGCAGCTGAAAGTAGAGGTCAGAGTCTCTCCCACAACACCTTTCATCTATGTCCATTTTGGTGATCCTTAGCGAGAGATTATCAGAAAACATTTCTATTGCAGGGATCAAGTTTCAGGCTGCAAAGCTTCATGGCGATGTTATTCATTGTTCTTGGCTCTTTGATTGTTGTTCACAAAAAAGGCTCCTCCCACTACTTCCAAAGTTGGTCGGCTTTATCAATGTTTATTTGTCTTGGCCATTTTGTTGCATTTATCTCGTTCCATCTAGAGTTTTGCATTTTAGCTCATTTTTTAAGCCCCTATATTGTTTAACCTTCATCTTTCTTTTGGCTAAAGGTACTTCATTTTCCTTTCTGACTCAACTAAGAAAAAGTTGCAAGAAGAGGTCGACGAGTTCTCTGATTCTTACTACATTTGCCTTAAAATGGATGATTTTAAACAGGTAATCATTTTAGCTAGGTTTTCTCGGAGAAGGTAATTAAGAAAAAATGTCGGTCATCATTTTGCCCTTATTTCAACTTTCAGGTGTAAGCTTGGACCTTTTTGTTTTGTGCTCTGTTTTTGAATAATTAACTACTTCTACTAACAGCTGCATACATAAGAGTAATGTCCTCCAGTATTTTATGATGTCTTCAACATTCTTTTCCTTGGACAGCTCATGAACAGTGTTTCTCATTCTGAAGAGTCTAAAGTTATTGAATTGTATAAGAAGAAATACTGTCCAGAGGATAAATGGTGTCGTTTTCATGATTGCTGCATCCACTTTTTCCTTCATACACACTCTTTGTAAGAGGCACTCACTTTTGAGTAAGATTGTATTTTAAATTAAGTTGCTTCAGATAGAGGAATGAAATTTCATTTATATGTTCCAGAAACAGTTCACAGCAGAAAGTTTTCTTGGAGCTTGCAATGAGGAGGTTGAAGCTTGAAGTTACCATGGGGGGTGGCAAACTTTCTGACAATATTTTGCAGGCTACCCATCTAGTTATCATTTTTCTTCCAGAATTGTGTTTGAACTTTGACATGTTGTTGAAGAGGTGAGAAACTTTTACTTAGGTATCAGTTCATACTTTAATGCTGTTTACCAAGTACAAGTGGACTCTTATGTTGATCATGATTCCATTCTGGACCTTCATATGTTTTGTTTACCTTAAAAATGTTAAGGAAAGACAAATTTGATTAAATTCTTTAAAGTTTTTATGTATTTAGATGTCTTAGTCTTTTAAATAAGTGAAATAAATAAATAAATACGGAGTATATGAAGTTGAGTTATTGATTTATTTTTTTTAGTTTCTTTTGTGTTCTCCCCCCTGTTTTCTTTCCCCTATAATCTTCCATATTCCAAATGAAGCCCAAATAGAGTGAAGACATTTTCTGAGTTAATTATTTTGTTTTTCCAGCTTCTCTGCAGCAGATAGACATCTGTTGTGCAGTAACAAATTGCACATTGTGAGTTTGCAATGGTTGGAAGATTGTTGTGAGAGAGACCAGAAGTTGCCCGAGGATAGTTACAGTTTGAAGCCCATGAATTTTGAAGCATATGTCATGAAAGAGAGGTAATTGTGTTTAATGTTCTAAATCTGCTTGCTCTTTGGGTCTAGGATGGATGGACCAGAATTCTAAAATGGATCTTCCTTCGAGTGACACAGATTTTTTATTTACTCCGTATTTATTTATTTATTTGTTTATTTATTCTCGATTGTATACTACATCTTGCAAAAATGTTCCACATTTGGTTTGGTACGAAGATTAAGAAAAGTGAAATTGTGTAGTTGAAAGTGGTATAGAGGAGAAAAATAATATGTGCCTCAAAAACTTTTCCAAAAGTAGAAAGTAGAACTTTGTATGGGACAAAGGGAGTACTAGATTCAAACTCAATTTACCACTTTTCTCAATATAACATTTGTTCAAAAAATCCCTACCTAAATCATCTACTTTTTAACTGGGCACTAGGATTTCTTTTGTTGCCTACAACTTGTTCCCAGATTGACCCCTGCTCAGACTCCAACTATCTGTTTTCAGAACACTAGAGTTAGCATTGACTTGTATAACCTCTGTGTTGTCTCTCTCATGCAGAAAAGACGAATCCACACTTGATGACAATACAGTCAAACATGTCGTACCGGCTCCAGCCTTTGAAGATGAACCGGAAGAAAAAATTGCATCCTTGAATGAGTCCACAACCAGCATGCCGCCTAAGAGGGATGCCAAAAGAAAGCAGAGACCTAGGGGTAGAACCGCCTCAACTAGACGGGAAGCCACGGTCAAACAGCCAAGGAGAGCAAAGTTTGGAAGCAAACCTGCCAGGATCGACATAAATGAAACCAGCGAAAGCGATGATTCTTCAGTAGGGATTTCCCAAAAACATGAATTTGGCGGGAGCGACAAGGAAGAGAACTGTGATTTTGACATGCATATTGATGACAGCAGAAAACCCATGATCGACAGGAGCGAAACGAAGACCAGACATAAAATCACAGTTAAACAGCCAAGGAGAGCAAAGGTTGGAAGCAAATTGGCCAAGATCAAGGAGGATGAAACAAACGAAAGTGATGACGCTTTAGTGGGAATTTCCCAAAAACATGAATTTGGCAGGGGTGACAAGGAAGAAGCCTGTGGTTTTGACATGAACTATGAGGAGAGCAGAAAACCCAAGATCGGCGTGAATGAAACGACTAGACAGAAACTCACAGTTAAACAGCCTAGGAGAGCTAAGGTCGGAAGCAAATCGGCGAAGATCAATGAGAATGAAACAAACGAAAGTGACGACGCTTCAGTCGGAATTTCACAAAAACATGAATTTGGCATGAGCAACAAGGAAGAAAACCATGAATTCGACACGCATAACGATGAAATCATACACAAAAGCCGTCCAGAGATCCCATTGAGCTGTGAAATCGATGATTCTAAGATGCTAACACAAGGGAAAGAAATTAAAGAGTCATTGGACTTTAGCCGCGATGGAGAAGAAAAGAATGTTAGCAGAACATTAGACCATAACACTCATCATGATCCATTCCCATCAATCTTGCAACCAAATATGATGCCATGCCATGAGAAGGAACCGAGCAGCTCGACCGCCCCTCTTGAGTGTGAAAATCAGGTCCCAGGTTTGGATACGAACCCCAAATACAGCATGAATGTCGATACGCATGAAAATCCTCAAGTAGATCTCACTCCAAATCCTTCAAAGAAGAAAAAGGTCAGCTTCAGAAGTCTAGCTGCCGAATTGCTCAAAGATTGGTGAGTGTAACTGCTTAGATTCTTGCTTTCTTTTGGCAATAATTATACTTGTCCTGTCACTTATGAGGTACTCCCTTCTTTTTTAATTGCCTGAATCACTTAACATTTAGCTAATATTATCTCTTAGAATGTAGCAAAAATATTATTTAAAATGTCGTGTTAATTTTTTTTTTTGATACAACTATAAATCTATAATAGGTATTCTCTTTTTTAGTTTAATCCATTTTGTATTCATGTGCATACTTAGTGAGTCTTTCTCTATACTTATAATGTCAAAACAACTTATAAGCTTTTTTTATCTTATAAGTCAATAGATGACGTGTTCCTTGGTAAGTAAGTTTTCTTTCTAATCGAGTTTTTTTAGTTTCTCCGTTTTGACCAGATTACTTGCCAAACTATCCTTCGCCTAGCATTATTATCCCCAATTGACTTATATGTAATTCAAGTTATGGTTTTTTAACTTATAAGTAGCTTATAAGTAATAAGTCATTAAACACATGCTCAGAGAAACAACTACTTAGTTAAAATAGAACACAGAAAACAAAAAAATAGAAAAGGAAAAGATGTGAATTTAATTAGTGTATTGGGAGGAGCGCCCCAATTTCATATTATGACATGGGCTTTAATTGGGACACCTTATGAAAATCAAAACAATATGGATATCAGTTGGATATTAGATATATCCATATCCGTTTCTAATTTTTTAAAACCAGATTAAACAATACTTTAATTTTCAATTGAACTAAATCAAAATATTATTAAATCAACTATAATTCTTTATGGGATAATTATTTTCTTATTTTTTTATAGTTTATGATATTATACGATTACTTCATATGATAGAAAGATACACACTACATATATACACATATTTTTATGTGTCTACATATACATTTTGCATATAAAAACGTCTTATTCTTTCGAAGATCAATAGAGAAACAAAATACTCCGTATAAAATAAAAATTAAAAAAAACTATATATAACGGATCGGCTACACGGATAAACAGTTGTTTAAATGGATGTCAATGTGGAGCGGATTATAAACGGATTAGATGTATGATTACCAAATCCGTATATCCTTAATCGGATATGAAAATAACTGTTTTTAATAGATGTGAATATTGTTTATATAAATGGATATGGATGCGGACAATAATCGAATTTTCGGTTATCCATTTACGGCCTTAACTAAGTTACTAAACCTTAAACACTGAATCGGTTGTCCAATAGGCCGTTAATGACTGAAAAAGGAATTGGGCTATTGATTGAAAAGCATGATCCATTACCCCAAAAGCCCATCTATTTCCAACTCTAAGACGAATTGGGCCACAAAATTACGGTGTAGGATTATTGGCCTATAAATAATTAAAAACACATCCCGAGAAAACCCGCAATTACACCCACACATACATGGCTGCTCTAATCAGAAAGTCGGTTTTTCTTGCCTCCCTCCTCCTCCTCCTTCTGGCGGCGGCGGTTTGGGCATCCGGCGACGGCGACGGCGGCGCATCGGAAGAGCTCACGGTGGAGGAGGAGTTCGAGCGGTGGATGGTCCTCCACGAGCGCAAGTACGAGGACGAATCGGAGAAGGAGAAGCGGTTCGAGATCTACAAGAAGAACAAGGAGTACGTGGAGAGTTTCAACAGGGCCGGGAATCACACTTACACGCTCGGCATCAACGCCTTCTCCGATTTGACCAACGAGGAATTCGCGGACATGTACCTGTCCAAGAACGTTTGTTTTTAGTGCCCCGTCTGAATCTGCCTTTTTAATTTCTTCTTAATTGATGAATTCTGTATGACTTTTCTGTACATGTCTTTTTGTATGTCATTAAGTAAATTTTAGTAATCATTATAGAGTCAATTTAAGTTGTTAAAAGCGAATTAGATAGTTAAAAGAAATATTTGTTCCCAAAACTAATCTTTTCATATTTTGAAATATTCTTGAGTTATGGGTGTGTTCCGTTCATCTATTTAATTTTTTGAAGTTACGATGTAGTTTGATTTAATTAGATCTAGTTTTATCTGATTGAATCTGATTAAAATTAAGAAAAAATTGCCCAAAATAATCTCAACTTTACCCAGTTTTTCAAAAATAATCTCACCTTTCACTGTGATGCATAATAATCTCAACTTTATTGAAATTTACCAGTTTTGGGTCACCGTTAAGTTTCTAACGGAGGGTTAACGGAAATGCCCGTTTTAGGCAACAAAATGAAAGTTGGGATTATTTTTGATGAATTTTTGTTTTTTAAATTTTTTTGAAATTTTTATTTAAATTTTTTTGAATTACTTTCAACCTCCATTTCTTTTTCTTTTTTAAAGATTATTCTTACCTTAGAAAAAAATAGATATAAACATAATGAAAATGAGAAAAATAACTAAAACTATACAAAATTAATTAAATAAATAATGTAATCAATATAAATTAAACAGAAACTGGTAAGAAATAAAATAAATATATACGGAGTGGTGGGTTTTAACATTTTACACGTTATACGGAGTATTAATGTACTACTTATTTTTTAAAAGAACAAGCCGTCCAGTAAAGTTGGAATTATCGTAGATAATTTTTTCTAAAAAATAAGAAGTGATATGTTAATACTTTGTATAATGCGTAAAATATTAAAACTCACCCATATATTTTTATTTTACTTTTACCAATTTTAAGTTAGTTTCCATTGATTACCTTATTTATTTTATTATTTTTATATCATTTTAGTTACATTTCTCATTTTTTCTTTTTTATATTTATTATTTTTATTTTTTAAACTAAGATTAATCTTTAAAAAAAAAAAAGAAATGATAATGGAGGTAGAAAGTAGTTTAAAAAATTTAAATGAAAAATTTTAAAAAAAAATGAAAATTCATCAAAAATAATCCCAACTTTCATTTTGTTGCCTAAAACGGGCATTTCCGTTAACCCTCCGTTAGAAACTTAACGGCGACCCAAAACTGGCAAATTTAAGTAAAGTTGGATTATTATGCATCACAGTGAAAGGTGGGATTATTTTTGAAAGACCGGGTAAAGTTGGAATTATTTTAGGTAATTTTTCCTTAAAATTAAAATTATTTTTATAATAATTTTGTTTGGATTTGATCTGGTATAAACGGATCTGATTAGATCAGCTCTGATGTCATCTAATTTGATTGGATCTGATCTGAGGATCTAATCATATTATATTTGATCTGGTCTAATTTGATCTAATCTGATTTGATTTTAATAAGAATAAGTAATAAGCAGAAAAATAAGTTGAATGGAATATTACCTAAGTTTCTTTGAAATGTGTTGTAGTCCATATTTTATTATTTTGATAATAAATTTTGGAAGAAATACATTAAATTATGCTATCAAGTTGATAATACTATCATACGGAGTATTTTTTTAAACCATAGTTTTGAAAGACAATATCAACATAATATATGTTTATATATAAAGATAGATATTAATGATCCAAATGTTGCGTCAGAGGCCAGAAAATATTAAATTAAAAGTAAGATATGTATGAAAAGATGTTACATTTATTTGGATGGGACAATAAAAAAGTAAAGATTTTATTGAATAAAATAGAGTTCCAAACTATACTTGTTTGTTAGAAAAATTATATGATTGATTATTGACGTTAAATTATATAATTGGTATTTATTTTAGAAAGTAAGAAATATAAGTTCACACAAATATTATTACTAATATGGTTTTCTTTCAACTTGGTCCAGCGAGGCAGCGAGGGACAAAAAGGATTTTTAATAACAAAAAAACCCTAGCTAATAATCAGTGGTCATGCATGTATAATTACTTAGCTTGCAGTTCAATTCTTTACCCACTCCTACACGAATTAGGATTGTTGGGCTACTCGGCCTATAAATATGCAATTGTAATATGTGAAATTTGGGCGGAGTGGAACTAAAATATAAGTCATTTCTCATTATAGGGTTTAAATTTTTTTATTTCTTAAATAGTACGGAGTACATAATAATGATTAATAAGAAGAATAATATATAAGTGATCCTGGATATTTATTTGAATAATGATTACTCCGTAATAGATAATGACCAATGATCCTACCGAGAATTTTCGGACATGTACATGATGAAGACCTCTCCTTTTAGGAATTTCAAAAGAAACATCACATTGCAGTGCAAAATTTCACTTAGGAAGTGAGATTTCAATTTTTTTTTCTTCATGACTCATGAGGAATTAGTATTAATTTCATCCGATTGTTCTTTCTCATTTATTAACATCTTTTCATGTCTCGTTTAAAATAAATATTGGATGTATTATGGATTATTGATCACACCTATAAGAGGGTGTATTGTTGATGGATATAATGTGGAAACAAATAATATCATTACTTGATTTTTCTTATTCTATTTGATAAATAATTCTCCTAATACATACTATTATTTCTATAATTGTTATTAATCCCTATTATACTACGGTGAATGTAATACTCCATCCGTTTGGAAAAATCCTTCCCATTTGATTTGGGGGCAAAAATAAGGAAGTGTTAAATTATAGTTAATTTCTAATTTTGTCCCTGATGTGATGGATAAAAGTAAGATGTGATGTATAGATTATTAGAGAAAAAGTATGATGTGATAGGTAGGGTATAAAAAAGTAAGGGTAAAAGTGGTTTTTTAATAGAAAGGGGAAGTGTTTTGTTGGAAGTGAAAAAAATGAAAGAGGAAGTGTCATGTGGGAATCGCAATATCAAACTATACTTATTTTCTTTTATCTATTTTTATTATAATACCAAACTCTCAAATGGAGGTTCATATTTTAATACAGTCACATACATGTTGATAAATTTGATTAGGGCGGTGAACAAAAAAAGTGAATGAAATCAATAAGAATTCTTTTTATCTATCATCCGCGCGCGCATTAGAAAGTGTTAAATATACTCCCACCGTCCCTAAATAAAGTTCCGTTTTTGACTTTTTTAGGATTTAAGGGAGAGATATTTTGGTATTGACTTTCCAAAAATACCCTTGATGTGATGTGTAAAAGTAAGATGTGAAATGTAGATTATTAGTAAAAAGGTATGATGTGATAGGTAGGATATGAAAAAATAAGGGGTAAAAGGGGGTTTTTAAGGGAAAAGAGAAGTTTATTTGGGGACAAAGAAAAAACGAAAGAGGAAGTTTATTTAGGGACGGAGAGAGTATTATTTATATTTAATATAATTGTATTATTCTGTATTATTCTCCTGCCTTATTTGTTTAGGATTGAGACCCAAGGTATATAAATACATGTAAACACAACCCTTTGAGTACAGATCACTTTGAAAATTTGGTGTTAGCGTTCTGGATAAAATTTCAACAATACAGATCACTTTGAAAACGCTAACAACACTAAACGTCGCCGGTACGTAGATTACTTTTTTCAAAACGGAATGCTAGATGTTCCCACACAGGGCCATAATCAATCGATATCGTAAGGGATGGGGTAGCTGCCAAATTGGAGGATGCTGCAAGCTCCCCCATGGCTGCCGTCCCGGTAAAGCTTCATATAACCGTCGTCTCCCCACCACCAGCCCCAGGAATTCTTGATCAGCCAATAATCGGGCGTGTACCCGACCACGGTTACGGCGTGGTACTCCCCGCTCCCGCAGTACCCCCACATGCCGGGGAAGTAAATCCCCCCCTTGTAGTTCTTGAACTCCGGGACGTAGTCCGGGCCGTACATTACCCCGGCAGACACGGGCTGCTGCGCCACCGCGCTCACCATGGCCAGCTCGTTGTTCGGCAAGACCCTCCGGTAGCCCTTGATGCTGCCGAAAGCGTCCACCACGTCATCGCGGCACCGCCCCTTCACCCCCCGGTACGGGTAGTCCGTCTCCTTTGCCAGCCCGTCGCTCCCCATCACGTACGAGAACGCGGCGGCCATGCTCCCGCCGTTGCAGCCGGCCGACACGGTGTCGCAGTCCACGAGTTGCTGCTCCGAGAGGTCCATCAGCTCCCCGTAATGGATTTGGTTCAGCCCTTCCAGCGCTCCCACCACCGAAAATGCCCAGCAGCAACCTGCGTCGTCATCATGGGATGGTGGCACAAAAATTACTTAAAATGTCATTTAATTTTTATTTAATTATAAATCAAAGGTAAGGATATATAAACGTTGTTGACTACAATATCTGAGTGAACAAAAATTATCGAGAAACTAAAATAGTAATTTTAATATAACTGCGTTCTCCGTAATACCTGTATGTAATTTTGACGTACTACGTTCGTCTTATAAAACTTTTCAAAAAGGAAAAAAGACACCTAAAAATGTACGGAGTACAATTTTGAAATTATTTTTTCTAATTTTCTAATTTTGTTCTTAAGTTATAATAAAGTAGGATATGATCTACTCCCTCCGTCCCGTGAAACATGGGACATTTGCTTTTTAGAAGAGATTTAAGGAAGTGTATTTTGGTATTGAATTTCCAAAATTGCCCTTTGATGTGATGGGTAAAAGTATGATTTGATGGATAAATTATTAGTAAAAAGGTATGATGTGATAGTTAGGGTATGAAAAAGTAAGGGTAAAAGTGACTTTTTAATAGAAATGAGAAGTGTTTTGTGGGACGGATAAAAAAAGAAAGAGGAAAGGTTTCATGGGACGGAGGGAGTATATGATACGGAGTAGATCAGCCATAATTAGAAAAAAAATATGAAATATTTGCACTAATTAGCACTAAAACTTAATTCATTTCCCTAAATAGTTTTATTCTCTAAATAGCACGTAATAATGTCCATAATGTCCAGCGATTTCAAATATTTATTTGAATAAGGACTAATGCATAATGACTAAAAGTGTTACATTGGGAAGAAAAACACATTTGGTGCTATTTAGAAAAAGTCATTATGTTTTAGTGATATTTAAGTAAATTTCTCAAAATATCAATAACTCATTTTTAGGGCATGACTTTTTTTCATTTTTGAAAAAGTTTATTTGACGGAGAAAGTAATAATTTTTATTTATAACATTTATTTATTCTAAGTTATTTTTAATTTATGGCCAAACATACCACAAAAATCAAATAAGGATGATAATTAATTTTGGAGGATGGAATGAAGGATTATATAAAAAGAAATATTACGGCATTTTTTTCCTTGGCTTTTCACGCGAGTGACGGTACCACAAAAATCAAATAAGGATGATAATTAATTTTGGAGGATGGAATGAAGGATTATATAAAAAGAAATATTACGGCATTTTTTTCCTTGGCTTTTCACGCGAGTGACGGCGCCTCGGTCCACCCAGTTAATCGACGGGGGAAGATCATCCGAACTCACATTAAAGGGCCCACTATCTGGCTCCGGTGAAAGCTCTTTATCAAGCATCCCGCGGCGGCCGCCGGGGCTGAGGAACGGCGGCTCCGCCGGTCCGGAACAACTAGTCAGGTAGTCCTCGGCGAACTCCTCGTTGGTCATGTCGGAGAACGCGTTGATGCCGAGCGTGAAGGTGCGGTTTCCGGCTCTATTGAACGACTCGACGTACTCTCTGTTTTGCTTGAAAATATTGAACCGTTTTTCCTTCTCGAGCTCGTCTGCGTAAGACCGCTCGTGAAGGACCATCCACTGCTCAAAGTGCTCCTCCACGGGTAGGTCTTGGAATGCGTCATCGCCGCCAGCGCTAGCGGTGGCAGGTTGGGGTGCCGGAGCCGCCACCGTTAGTGCAATGAGGCAAAAAAACCCAAGGGTAAACTTGGAAAGTTTGTTGATGAGGAGAGCCATTGTAAGTAGTGGCGCGATGGGATGGCAAGGGAGGAATGAACATTGTTGGCCTATTTATTTAGGCAAACAATCTAAGCAAAAAAGTAAATGAGAGTTTGTCTTAAGTGGGCGTACGTTAAAAATTTTGAAAACAAACTTAAGTTATCATATTCAAAATTGCATTATATTGCACGTCCTAGTATTTTTGTCGCTTTTTCTTGTTTATAGGTTTGATTATCCTTTTTAGATATTTGCACTAAATAGCACTAAAACTTAAGTCATTTCTCTAAATAGCACTTAAACTGTTTTATTTCTTAAATAATACTTAATAATATTCATAATGTCCAGTGATAACAAATATTTGCTTGAATAATGACTAATGCATAATGACTAAAAGTGCTACATTGGGAAAAAACACATATGGTGCTATTTAGGGAAAGTCATTATGTTTTAGTGCTATTTAAGTAAATTTCTCTTAATTATATTCCCTCCGTTCCAAATTTTTTGCAACATTTCAAAGAACGTGCAAAATATCATTTATTTCAAAATTGTTTTATTTATAAATTATTAGAGAAATAAAAAGTAAAAATTACACTGTTCATAATTACATCAACAATATTACAATAAAATGCGACAAAATATTTTATTTTATCAAATAGCCAACCAAAATGAGTTAACAAATAAAAGTTATTAAGAAATTAAAATCACAATTGTGCCATTCTTTTGGGGCGGGGAGAGTATTTCTTCATCTCAGAAAGGATTTATATTTCCTTTTTTGGTCCATCCAAAAAAAATTACTAATTTTTACTTAAGGATATTTTTTGTGTCTCATATTATTCCTCTTTTATAACAAGCCCTTTTATTTAATTTTATTTTAATTTGTACTAAATCAAAATAAAACATTTTTACATAAAGGGTGGGGGTGGGAGCTGTCTTACTTTTTAACATCAATTTCAATTCTGTAATTCTTATTTTTTTAAAATTTTGATTATAATGTTCTTAAAAACGTTGGACTGTGTTTTTTGTGGAGTTACGGAGTAGTGCATATTGTTTAAGGAAATATACTACTGTTCTTATTTTAGTCAACCTTCCGGTGACAAACTCCAATTTAAAGTACTCGGGGTATAATAACTGCATCATATGTTACTCAAGAAAAAATGCATCATTTATTAAATATTTGGAGCCATAAAAATATTCTCATTTTAACATTTAACAAATTTAAGAGAGAAATATTTTTATATTAATTTTCTAAAAATAAATTGATGTAATGAGTAAAAGTAGAATGTGGTGGATAAATGATTAGTAAAGTTGTATGATATGATAAGTAAGGTAAGAATTAATAGAACCAAAGTGATAATTTTAATACAAAAAAGAATGACTTTATAGTATACAAACATATAAAAGAAGAAGAACTATTTCCCTATTTCCGTTCCGTCTTTGGTTTTAGGGAAAACCGAACCCACCCCTAGGCTCACACGTACTCGTACGTCTTATAGATAATGTAATTTTATATTTTTTTAATTTGCGTGTTACTAGCCCATAAATAAATTGAGTAATATTTTTTATTGATTCCAATTAAAATAAAAATTTGACATAAATAATTCATTTTTCCTTTTTCGTCGCTCAAATATATATATATATCTCGCCTTTCTTTCTAAAACATTGTGAAAATTAAACACAAAATATTTTTCTTAACAGAGGTATAGTATTTATTGACTTCCGACATATACATATTTAAAAATTAACAAATAAATATATTCGAATATACGATTATTTGGTGGCATTCAGTAATATTAAAGAGAAGTAACTAAATTAAGTTTGGAGGGGAACTAAAAATTAGTATTGTGCATATCCCTTGAAAGTCTGATATAATTTAAAGTTATACCAGACTGGAAGGAAACTAAATGAAGTTGTTCATTCGTGATCTTTATTCTCAACTTGAGGAGAAGTGTAAGAATATGTTTTACAGTTTGATAGTTTTCCTATTCTTGTAGTGATAGGAATAGAATTATGGTAGGAATAGAACTTTACTAATTTTGTTTACCCTATTCTTATATAAAGAGGGTTGATTCTTTGTATTCAAAAAAATAATTCAATATAAAATTATTCTCCATTATTATTTTTTCTACACTCTTCGTTCTCTTTTTAATACTCCGTATGTTATCAATTCTTTTATTCCCTTTTTAAAAGGTAGCAAAAGCCGAAACTTTTATCAGTCTTATGGAAGCAATTCAAGTTACTCAAGCACCTTAGGTGCCCCAAGATTGAATTTTTTTACTCTACCCTATATTTTTATTCTTTAATGTGTTTGTAATTCCAACATGAATATTAACTTTTCATTCTGCATTTCTTAATTTTCTACATTTTTTTCTTTCTTCATTTGATTTCATATTGACATTATTATCATATATATTTTGAGGACTTAATTACAAGTTGATCAATCAAAAAGGAAAACAAGGGGATAAATGGCAGCACTGAGAATTCCGCAAGGTCCAATTATACTGGGGTCTCTAGCCAACCTCAAATACCCGCCCTCGCCCCACGACGTCCCCCACGAATTCTTGATGAGCCAATACCCGGGGTTGCTCTGGTACCCCACCACAGTCAAACCGTGGGCAAAACCCTCCCCGCAATACCCACTTTTCCCAGGGTGGTAAATCCCACCCTGGTAATTTTTCAGCTCGGGCACGAAGTCCGGACCAAAAGTTATTACAACGGAGACTGGCTGACGTGCCACGGCGGTGCGTAGGGCCCACGCGTCGTTCGTCGGGACGTTCTCGAAGAACTCGATGCTCCCGAACGCACCCATGCCCTGGCGGCACGCACCTTGGGTGCCGGTGTACGGGTAGTCCTCCTCCTTCGCTAGCCCGTGGTTCGCCACGGCATAAGCAAATGCACTTGCAAAGTCGCCGCTTACGCAACCGTTCGACTCAGTGTCGCAGTCCACGATTTGTTGCTCCGACAAGGGCAAAAGCGTCCCGGAATTGATTTTGTTTAGCCCTTCCAGGGATGCTACTGCCGAAAACGCCCAACAACTGCCTACACATTCATAATCACAATCAAAAGATTATATGACCAATGTTATTAGTTCTATTTTATCAACAAAAAGCACAAAAATATAAATATTACTAAGTACTATATTAAAAAGGTTTAATTATGTTTTTATTCCTAGTAAAATATGCGGGTTTTATTTTTAGTCTTCCTAAAATTTTTTTGTTGTTAAAATCACCCTTGAAAAATTTTATTTTGAAAATAGTCCTTACATGTAATTCATATTTTTAAATTTTTGACATAGTACAATTATTTGGTACTCAACAACTTAGTTTTGCATTTCTAATGACTTCAAAGGTAATTCTCATGCCCCAAATTGTGTTTTTATCAATTTACATCTTCAATTCCTAAATTTTTATTATATTCCTAAGAAATTTAGAAATCAGATATGTAAAATGAATAGGTACACAACTTAGGGCCTAAAATTGTGTCATACGTAATTAGAAATGCATGATTAAGATGTTGAGTCTGAAATAAATGTGATATCTCATTTAATTAGAAGTTCTAGTTACGTTTTAAGGACTATTTTCAAACTAAATTTTTTTGTAACAAAAAACATTTTACGGGAACAATAAACAAAGTTCATTTATTTTACAAAGGCTAAAAATATATTTAAGAAAAATCCTAGAGGTACACTAAAAGTGTACCCCAAACATTCCCCACCCCCGGCCTCCATAACCACAAAAAAAGGCAAGTAAAAAATAAAAACAAAGTAAAATAAATGGTAAAGATCAGAGAGGGGTGATGTACATTATTTGGGGTACACCAAAGGTGTACCCCTAGCATCTCCCTATATTTAATCCTATTAAAAATCATATCAAAATCAAACCAAATGAAATACAAATATTAAATTAATTCTAGGGGGAATAGTATCCACAGTATATATTACCACATTCTCCTTGGTCTTTCACGCGAGTGACAGCCCCTTGCTTCACCCAATCTACCGAGGCGGGAAGAGTAGTGTCCAAACTCACATTATGGAAGAGCCCATTCCATGAATAATGCTTATGCGAAATAGGGTGACGTACGGGGCGGCGTAGTCGCGGCGGTCCGGCATAGTTTTTGTTGAGGTAGGCGTCGATGAACTCCAGGTCGGTCATGTCGGAGAACGCATTGATGCCAAGTGTGAAGGTGCGATTGCCAGCTTTGTTGAATGACTCGACGAACTCTTTGTTTTTCTTGAAAATGTTGAACCGTTTTTCTCTCTCGCATTCGTCTGCGTAGAACCTTTTGTGAAGAATCATCCATCGCTCAAAGTGCTCCTCCACGGCGAGTTCTTGAAATACGTCCCCGCCGGTATTGTCGGCGGTGGGGTGGCATGTCACCGCCGCTAGTACAATTAGGATAAACAATTCAAAGATCGACGACTTGATGAAAAGCTTGTTGAGGAAAGCCATATTATATTATTACAAGTGATTGATAGCCAGGGAAGGATATGATGGTTGTGGAGGAAAGAGGACATGTTCAAGGTGTTTATATATATGCACACATGCATAGGCCATATACTCTTATCCCTCAAATCTTTCTTTTTTATTTTTTTTAATTAGAAATCATCCTAAATAGGACTAAAATATAGGGAAAAATATCAACATAAGACTTTCATTTTTTTTTTTGAAATAGGATTTTGCACTGTGGTAATGTGACACTGTACATGTGCAGATTACTATACTTTTTGGTAATGTACATGACAATGTTTGGTAATGTAAATGCATTTTAAGTCTTATTTTGGAAACAAAAACATGGAAGTCATATTTTGGTATATTTTCAATGTTTTAGTCTTACTTTGGTCTTTCTCCCTTTTTTATCCATCCCAAAAAACTTTTCTCATTTTTATTAAAAAATTATATTTATCCTTACTAATTCTTAAAAAATATTTCAAAATCAAAATTGATAAAATTTGATTATTAATTAAATAAAAATCATACTTGCTTCGTCCCAATTTATAGTGCATGTTCATTATTCACATGATCTAATAATTATAGAATTTACTCATAAAAGAAGGACTACGAGGGTAATATTTGATAATAAAAGACTAAATATGGAAACTTTCTTTTATAAAGGACCAATAATTATGGAATTTACTCTAACATAAATCTAATTTTATTTAATTACAAGTCAAATATCAATCCTGTTGGTTGACTGAAAAAAGTTAAAATTAAACATATATTCCGGGACAAAGAAATTGTGGACAATGGTGAGACTTCATTCTTTAAGAGGGTGGAAAAGTCTTTCGTGATCTTTAAGTGCATACGTATATAATAAAAAGTGAGCATAGTATAAAAAAATATTCAATAAAATAATGGATTTTTTATACACATTAGTAAAATAAGACCATTCAGATATATAACAAAAAAATATGTACAGTCGCATCAAACATAAAGTCATTAAAATAATTAAAGATACTCTGGTAATTATCATATAAAATTAATTCAATTAATTCATTTCATGTACAAGGTAGAACCATTTTTTTTGTTATACAATTTTTCTTCACTAGCGCGTTATTAAAAAGTTGATTAAAATTTAAAACATATATCAACAATTTTAAAAGTAATATACTCCGTAACATATATCATTTGGTAATCAAAATTTTAATGCATATAATTAGCAAGGAACAAGTCAAATTGTCAAAGTCTTATGTAAATCAAAAAAAATTAATTTTAATTTCTTTTAGATATTTAATGTTTTTTTCATGTTGCAAGAACAACCGCACTTATCTAAAACTACACATTTAATTTTGTCTTTCCTTTCACTCGGGACTTTACATCATTAGAAATCATCCTAAATAGGATTAAGAGATAAAAAAAGTATTAAATTAAGAATTCCATATTTTTATTTCCGAATTAGAATTTCACACTGTGCTAATATGGTTGTAATGTGACACTGTATATGTGCACATTGTTATACTTTTTGGTAATGTACATGATCATGTTTGAAAATGTAACTGCATTTTAACTTCTATATGAGAATAAAAACATGGAACTTTTATTTTGATATATTTTTAATATTTTACTCCTACTTTAGTCTTTTTCCCTTACATCATCTTCAATAGAGCCAAATTAAAGTTTAACTATTTTTTGGAGTTGGTATGAAAAGTAAATATTTAGAACTTATTTAAATAAATTAAAAGACAAATATTTGGATTACATGTTCTTTTAAAAAAGTGAGAGTAGAAATATGTTTTGGATATCTCAAAATGGAAAATGAGAAAATATGTTTTGGATGATGGACTATAATGTTCATCAAAAATAGAACAATACATATTCATGCTCACAAAAAAATAAAAATTTGAAGTTTTGGGTTTGGCTTTTTGGATCATAGTTATATAAAATGGGAAAATAAATTACAACAAATAAATTGTAACAAGAGTGGAAGATGATGGCGAATATAGAAGTAAGTTGAGGACGGTGCGTTGATTTCGCACAAAATTAAGGTCGGTGGATAAGAATACTGGTTTTTGAAGTCGGCCAAATGAATTGAAGACGATAATATGGAGTCCCTCCACGGCTCCACCTCTGGTTTTTGTATGATCTTTTGTTTGGATGAGTTGCTTGAACTTATTATAATCCTTTAATATAATAAAGGAGATGTAGAGGCACAGAAATTTGACATTTGGCATATTTATGTGGTAAAATTTAAACATGTCAGCACGTCACGTAATATCTGAATAAACCAGTGGAATATTTTAATATAATATTTCAGACTCGGATTACCAAAGCTTGACATGTGGAATTCTTACATGGAGTTTTTTTGACACGTCAATGATGATTGTATGCATTAATTGAATCTAAAATCATTCATAAAAAAGTCTTCATATATAGTAAATTTTGAATAGTCATTGGCCATTTTAAACAAATAATTTATGGTAACTTTTAAAACTTGATATTTATCGTATATAGTTGATAAGTTTGCACTAATATATTTGATACGGAATATTAAAAAAATTACTCAAGTTAGTAAAATAACTCAAGTTTATTAATACTCCGTATAATTTTAATAAAATGTTATAAATTACTTAAAGTAGGTATTTATAAATGAGAGAGTGTGTGTATGTATGTATGTATGCATGCATGCATGTGTATGTACATGTGTGTGTATATATACACATTAAACTCACTAAATAAGAGGCTAGAGCATTCATACCCCTCTACTCACTAAATGACATGTGTACTTTTATTTCTACATTAAACTATGTACTACATAAGATTAATTAATAAATTTCCTTTTGATTCGTAAAAATTACAAATTATGCACAAAGTTAACCCAATCATTTGTCGCCCTACTTTACTTTCAGAATTTTGTTTTAAATTTTACTATTCTTGTATTATTTTTTAATTATTCTCATTATTCTACTTTTTATTTATAATTAAGCTCTATTCTATTGGGTTTTAATTCTAGTGTTTTAAATTTTTTTTAATTTCATAGTTTCTTTCAACTCCTCGTTTCTTCCAAATCTTTCACTTTTCTATTTAACAATTACTTAAAAATCATTATCTAGGCATTTTTTCATATGATTAATAAAATTACTTTGAATATTTTTATTATCATCATCGTCATCATTTTTTATCATCATCATCATCTGTATATATTTGAGTAAAATAATTATAAAGTCAAAGTAATTTCATAATTTATAAAAAAATATTATATTCCTGAAAATAATTTCCATTAATTACCAAAAAATATTAGGTACTTCCTTTGACAATAAAGTTTCTTCTTATTTGATTTTCCATGATCTCCAATGCAATATTTTGACCATTTTACATCAATATCTCTACTTATATATAGATATATATGATCACAAAAATAAAATTCTTTAAAACTAAGTTTCAGAATAAATCTATTGTTATTAATTTTAAAATATATTTTTAATATATTTTTTCTATAATTTGTTGTCAATATTTTAAAAATTTGACAAAAAAGTCACAGTGGGAAGAAATTTTTAAATGATGCAGTACTAAATATGGGTTGAATAAAAAAGTACGGAGTATTACATAGAAAAAGAGGTAATGCTTTCATATAAATAAAATTTTAGTTATTTTATTAAAAGTATACAATTTTGAAAATTTAATATTTTTCACCACTTTTCTTTTTAAAAATAATTTCCTAAGTCTTCCCTATTTTTCAACCCCCTCCATTATTTTCTAAATCCATTTCTTCCAATTATTTTAGTGAAAAATGATTCAGTAAAATAATAATTAATAAAACAATGATAAAAAATGTAATTACTAATCCTCTAAAAAGTAAAATAACTTGAAGTAATTAAACAATAATTATTAAAATAATATTTATCCATGAAAAAGTAAAATAATACAGTAAGTAATATAATGAAACACTATAATACTCCGTAATTAATAAAAGAATGATAAAAGAATTAGAAGAAGTAGGTTAATTACCGTATGTAAGTTTGGATGGATGAGAATGTGGCTATTTTGCACTTTTGGAAAATTAAAAGGAACTTACTCCGTATTACTTAAGTTTATGTATTATTAAGTGGCATCAGAGGTGCAAATGTCACTCAATGAGTGGAAGGGTATGGATGTCCTTTCTTGTAAAGGCCCCAAAGAAAAACCTATAACAAATGTGCCACATTTACGATTTTACATAGCAACACATGGCCTAGTACATATGTAACAGCTATTTTAATTTTCCAGATTTATAAGTATGGAAAATAATAGTTTTAAATGCAAAAAATACTACAGTAATATTCTTGTAGGGAGGGAGTAATTTAGATTGGGATCAGGAAAGCTTAAATAATGATGGAAAGAATATTATAATGGAGCTAATTAGATGCATGGTAGTAAAAAAAGAAAGAAGAAAATATAATGAATCAATGAAAGAGCTAAACAAGGGGATAACTCGCGTCGCGGAGAATTCCGCAAGGTCCAATTATACTCGCGTCTCTGGCCAACCAAAGATACCCATTGATTCCCCACGACGTGCCCCATGAGTTCTTGATGAGCCAATAGCTCGGGTTGGTTTGGTACCCGACCACGACAAAAGCGTGGACATTCCCGTCCCCGCAATACCCGCTTTTGCCCGGGTGGTAAATCCCGCCGTGGTAGTTTTTAAACTCGGGGACGAAGTCCGAACCGAAAGTTACAATGGCGGACACGGGCTGGCGTGCCACGGCGGTGAGGAGGGCCCACGCGTCGTTCTTCGGAACGTTCTGGAAGGACCCGACGCCGCCAAACGCACCCATGCCGTGGCGGCACGCGCCCTGCTTTTTGGCGTACGGGTAGTCCTCCTCCTTGGCTAGCCCGTGGTTCGACACCGCGTAAGCGAATGCAGTTTGAGGATGGCCACCTACGCAACCGCGCGAACCGGTGTCGCAGTCTACGAGTTGTTGCTCCGACAAGGACAAAAGCGTCCCCGAATGGATTTTGTTTAGTCCTTCCAGGGCCGCTACTGCCGAAAATGCCCAGCAACTACCTGCATGCATGCGGTTTCATCATCACACAGAGTATTAATTACACAGTTGAAATAATGCTTGTTTACAGAGAGACGTTCAGACAATTATCGTCTAATTAAGTCGCACAGATGATTATTGTATGTGCGTGTCTTTGCAAGGCATGATGGAGGCATCCATTTGGGAGCACCCTCGGACAACTAATGGTGTATTTTTGGAAGTTTGGGGAGATAAAAGATATATACCCGGAGTACACTTTATGATCAAAGGCTAATTAAATAGCCCTAATAAACTTATTAAAAATATTTTTATGGGGGAGAAGAAATAACAAATTAGTTTACGCTCTAAACCTAATTAGTTAATTCCTAAAATATATAATCATAATCTTAATAAAACAAAACACGAAATACTTTCAAGTTTCAACTCTTATCTATACCTACCTTCTTGGCTTCTCCAACAATAATTATGTTCTTACTTTACTGTTCCAAAGTTTTTTAACTTTGTAGCACTTTAAGAAGATCAGAAACGTTTCTGCAAGATTTTTCTAGTTTGTTATTGTTGTTTTTATTTAAGGAAAGGATCATATGAGCAACGTTGTTTCTATTTTATCAACACAAATGACAAATCACAAGAATATAAATTATACGGAGTACTGTGGTATATTAAAAATTGTGTCAGATACTCTCCTGTTCAAAATTTATCTTCTCGTTCATTATTTACATGGTCAAGTTTTATTCACTTTGTTGACCTATTTTTGTTACCCATTTGATAAAATAATATAGTCATCTCACATTTAATTTTGTAGATCTTTTGATGTAGTTTTTTAATATGTAATTTTTATTTTCTAATTTACACCATTTTTCGTATAAAATGATTTAAGAATAACACCAATCAAACATCGTAACGCGCAACATGAAGATAATTAACTTTTGGACGGGGGAGTAAAACTAAATACTCCCTGTGTCCCTAAAAACATGGGAGATTTTGATTTTTAAGGGATTTAAGGATAGTGTATTATGGTATTGAGTTTTCAAAAATATCCTTGGATGTGATGATGGGTAAAAGTAAGACTTGATAGGTCGATTAATAGTAAATAGATATGATGTGATAAGTATGTAAAAATTAATAGGGGTAAAAATAACTTTTAATAGAAATGAGAAGAGTTTTTGGAACAGATGAAAAAGGAAAAGAGAAATGTTCCGAGGAAAGAAAGTAGTACTCCCTACGTTCTCAAAAACACTTCCTCTTTCATTTTTTCCACTTCCAACAAAACACTTCCCCTTTCTATTAAAAAACCACTTTTACCCTTACTTTTTCATACCCTACTTATCACATCATATTTTTTCTCTAATAATCTATCCATCACATCTTACTTTTACTCATCACATCAGGGGCAAATTTGGAAATCAACTACTCCCTCCGTTCCTAAATAAAGTTCCTCTTTCGTTTTTCTTTGTCCCTAAATAAACTTCTCTTTTCCCTTAAAAAACCCCTTTTACCCCTTATTTTTTCATACCCTACCTATCACATCATACCTTTTTTTACTAATAATCTACCTATCACATCTTACTTTTACACATCACATCAAGGGTATTTTTGGAAAGTCAACACAAAAATATCTCTCCCTTAAATCCTCAAAAAGTCAAAAATGAAACTTTATTTAGGGACGGAGGGAGTATAATTTAACACTTCCTTATTTTTGCCCCAAATCAAAATGGGAAGTCTTTTTGCAAACGGAGGGAGTATTAAACTAAGTGAAATTTGCACTAAATAGGACTAAAACATAATGACTTTCCTAATGTAGGACTTAAACTTTTTTATTCCCTAAATAAGACTTAATAATGACCTAGTGAGAGAAATAATATCCAGTAATGTTAGACATTTACTTGAATAATGACTACTCCGTACTTGATAATGACCAAAAGTTCTACATTAGAAAATAAAAACATATGATCATATATTGGGAAAGTCATTATGTTATAGTCCTATTTAGGTAAATCTCTGCTAAACTAATTGTAGGAGGGAATTGAATAAAATATTACCGCATGTTCCTTGATTTTTAACGCTAGTCACGGCTCCTTGCTTCACCCAGTCTACCGCGGCCGGAAGAGTGCCCAAACTCACATTATGAAAGGGCCCACTATATGGTTCCGATGAGTGCTTCGAAGATACAGGGCGGTCCAGGGGGCGGCGTAGTGGTGGAGGTCCGGTGGCATAGTTTTTGTTGAGGTAGGCATCGATGAACTCCCGGTCGGTCATGTCGGAAAACGCATTGATGCCAAGTGTGAAGGTGCGATTGCCAGCTTTGTTGAATGACTCGACGTACTCTTTGTTTTTCTTGAAAATGGCGAATCGGTTTTTCTTCTCAAACTCGTCTCTGTAGGTCCGGTTGTGAAGAACCATCCACTGCTCAAAGTGTTCCTCCACAGACGACGGTTCTTGAAATGGGTCGCCCCTAGTACTATCGGGGGCGGCTTGGCATGTCACAACCGCCGCCGCCGCCGCTAGTACAATTAGGATTAAAAGTTCAAGGATAGACTTCAAAATTTTGTTGAGGAGAGCCATATCATTTACAAGTGATTGATCCGCAGGGAAGGATGGTTGTGGATGGATAAGTACTACATGTTCATCAATGTGTTTATTTATGTACTCCCTCCGTCCCAAAAAGTTTGTTACGTTTAGAAAAAACTTTGTCCCATAAAGTTTGTTACATTTCAATTAAAAAACCACTTTTACCTCTTACTTTTTCATACCCTACCTATCACATCATACCTTTTTCCTAATAATCTACCCATCACATCCTACTTTTACCCATCACATCAAGGGTATTTTTGGAAAGTCAATACCAAAATATCCATCCCTTAATTTCCCAAGATTCTATAACAATTAATGCTCCATTTATTATTATACAAGCAAGAATCTTTAATCATAGTACAATAACAATTATAAAAGCATTAGAATAAAGAAGGTAACCATTAATAATATTTGTTTCCTCTTATCCATGATATTATCAATATATTCCATTTATTATTTTATTACTTAACTTGTCTTTGATTTGTAACATCTCCATAATCATGGAGATTTTATGTAGAGAATATTACCCGCATGTATTAGCATTTTAACACATGCCTCGCAAACGGGAAACGGCGGAACGAAATTTCAATCATTTCTTTAATTTTAACGTTGTTGTTTGATTCTTAAACAATGTTGTAGCAAAAACGTTTTTTGCATAATTGAAAAAAGAATCATTTCACCCCCTATATGACACAGGTAAAAATAAAACTCCTCCGTCTCTGAAAACTTTTATCCTTTCTTTTTACATCCACCCCAAAAACACTTCTTATTCCAAATAAAAAATTACTTTTACTTCTTACTTTTTCATACCATACCTATCGCATCATATCTTATTACTAATCTATGTATCAAATCCTAATTTAACTCATCACATCAAAAGATTTTTTTAGAAATTCAATACCAAAATATACTTTCTTTAAATATCTTAAAAATCAATAACTCACATATTTTTAGGACCAGAGGGAGTAGTAAATAAAACGAAACACAATGTGTGTGTGTGTATATGTGTGTGTGTGTGTGTGTATATATATATATATATATATATATATATATATATATATATATATATATATATATATATATATATATATATATATATATATATATATATATATATATATATATATATATATATATATATATATATATATATATATATATATATATATATATATATATATATATATATATATATATATATATATATAGTTCCATCGTCCTTTTAATGTCTATGTGTCCATTAGAAAGGCATTGTCGGTTGATAAAAAGACATTGTCATAATTATAAATGTCCATTGCATTAGCGATCAATAACCCCGATTAGTGAACAATGTTCATAATTTTTACAATGTACTATATCCATGATTTTTACAATGTCCCACATCCTGTGAACAATATCCATATTTTTTGCAAAGTCCATAAAAGAAAAAATATAAGTAGACAAATCAAAGAAAGAGAAATTGATCAAATGGAAAAAATATACTCCCTCCGTTTGGAAAAACACTTCCCATTTTGATTTGGAGCAAAAATAAAGAAGTGTTAAATTATGATTGATTTCCAATTTTGCCCCTGATGTGATGAGTAAAAGTAAGATGTGATGGATAGATTATTAGAGAAAAAGTATGATGTGATAGGTAGGGTATGAAAAAGTAAGGGTAAAAGTGGTTTTTTAATAGAAAGGGGAAGTGTTTTGTTGGAAGTGGAAAAAATGAAAGAGGAAGTGTTTTTGAGAACGGAGTGAGTAGTTTCTATTATATTTTATATGGAGCATTAAATAATTAAGATACAAGGGTATTTTAATAAATGTATCTTATTAATAATTAATAAATTTAGAGTTAATTTTGGGGAAAAACTTGTTTGGTGTCATCTAGAGAAAAAAGTGTTAAGTTTTAGTGCTACTTGGAGCAAACTTCACTTTAGTTAATTTATGAAGTTCAGTGAAGGGTTAGAAATCTATTTTTCAACCCTGATCAACAGCATGGTGATAGTAAAAATAATGTTTATTGATATTAGGAATGTTTAAATAATAATGATGGAAAATAAAAACGGAGCCTAAATTATTATTAAAAAAATATTAAATAATCTAAAGTCATATTCTGACATTGACTAACAATTTCTCACTAGAATCTAATTCAAAAGAAACTTAACCCTAATAAAAAGAATGAAAAGAAAAGAAATCAATCAATGGGATAAGGAACGGGATAACTTGCTTCGGTGAGAATACCGCAAGGTCCAACAATACTGGGATCTCTTGCCAACCTCATATACCCGTCCTCTCCCCACACCGTACTCCAAGAGTTCTTGATGATCCAATAGTTAGGGTTGGTGTGGTACCCCACCACGGCAACGGCGTGGCGGTTCCCGGACCCACAAAACCCGCCCTTGCCGGGGTGGTAAATCCCGCCAAAGTAGTTCTTGAACTCCGGGACATAGTCCGGGCCGAAAGTGATCGCCGCAGCCACAGGCTGCTGCGCCACTGCCCTGTGTAGGGCCCACGCGTCGTTCTTCGGGACCATCTTGTAGCTCTCGATGCTCCCATAGGGCTCCACCTCGTCCTCGCGGCATCTCCCCTGGTACCCCACGAAGGGGTAGTCCTCCTCCTTGGCTATCCCTTCGTTCCCCACCGCGTACTCGAACGCTCGGTCAATGCCTCCCCCGTTGCAGCCGTGGGACTTGGTGTCGCAGTCTATGAGGTGTTGTTCCGACAAGTCCAAAAGCGTCTTGTAATGGATTTTGTTTAGTCCTTCCAAAGCCGCCGTTGCCGCAAAAGCCCAGCAACCAGCTGCTCTAGAAAGAGAGGGACATAATGACTAAAGTGGTAAAATAAGAAGGGAATAAGATGTGATTTGTACATTATTAAAAAAGAGGTATGATGTGATAGGTAGGGTTTGAAAAAGTAAAGGGTAAAAAGTGGTTTTTTAATAAGAATGAGAAGATTATGGGGCACCATTTTTTTGAAACGTTGAAAGATTTTTGGGACAAAGGGAGTATTTTTAGAATCTGTAAAATAAATGAATTTTGTTTTTAGTTGCTGTAAAATAATTTATTTATTATTTAAATTATCTTTGTAAAATTTGTACGGATAACAAAAATAAAAAGAAATATTTGCACTAAATAGCACTAAAACCTAAGTCATTTCTCTAAGTAACACTTAAATTGTTTTATTTCCTAAATAGCATTTAATAATGTCCATAATGACCTCTGATGACAAACATTTAGTTAAATAATGACTAATGGATAATGACTAAAAGTGATACATTGGGAAGAAAAATACATGTAGTGCTATTTGGGGAAAGTCATTATGTTTTAGTGCTATTTACGGAAATTTCTCGTTTTAAAATCAATTCTAAAAAATTAAAAAAGAATAAATTTTATATTACCGCATGTTCCTTGGCTCTTCACGCTAGTGACAGCGCCTAGCTTCACCCAATCTATCTCGGCGGGAACATAATCCAAACTCACATTATGCATGGGCCCGCCATCTTGTTTCGGCGAATGCGTACGGCGGATCCCGCGGCGGCGGGGGCGGCGCAGTGGTGGTGCCGGCGGTCCGGAGCAGCTGAGGTAAGTGTCCATGAACTCCTGGTCGGTCATGTCGGAGAACGCATTGATGCCAAGTGTGAAGGTGCGATTGCCAGCCTTATTGAAAGCCTCGACGTACTCTCTGTTTTTCTTGAAAATATTGAACCGTTTTTCCTTCTCGAACTCGTTCTCATAGGACCGTTCGAGAAGAACCATCCACTGCTCAAAGTGCTCCTCCACGGGGAGGTCTTGAAACCCATAACTTCCAGTGATAGCCATGGCGGCTTCGCGTGTCTGAGCCGCCACAGCTAGCACCACGGTCAAGACAAAGAATCCAAGGGCAAACTTGGAACAAAAGTTTGGGAGCACCATGTTGATCGGCGGGGAGGGATGGTTTTGGAGGAAAGGGGACATGTTTAACGTGTTTGATGATACTTTTTATTTATAGGGGCAAAAAACCTAAGGTTTCATAAAAGATTAAAGATTAAGAAAATAAATTGCCTTTAAAGTTTGAACAATTAAAGTAAGAAATTTGGGTTTCTATATCACGTATGCATTCTAAAACTAGAGTCCCCAGATTCTATTACCTTATATATCAAGCCATGATTAATTCTGAAATACTTTGCATTATTAGACTATAATTTCCAATAATGTAATATTTTAATCATTAATATTTTTATTTATATATAAATATAAATACGTACTCCGTATATGTTATAAAAAAACTGCCTTCGAGCAAAATATATTTAATTACTAATATAAATGGGTTCATCTAAGGATATAGTTTTGATATATCAAATTTTTATATCATTTATTTATTTAAATTATACGAGTATTTAATTTATGATAAAAAGTGTCACTTTTTTACTAAAAAAAGTCAAATTAGGAAAGATTTTTGGATCGAATGGAGTAATATGTTAAAAATATATATATCTCAAAATTAATTTATTGATATTTAATTTATACTCCCTCCGTCCCCAAATTGATTACAATTTTTTTTTCTCTCTCCTCTTGATAACTTTTGTTTTTTTACGCGATTTTATCAAGTATTTGATAAAATAAAATATTCTTGTCACCTCTTATTGTGTAGAACTTTTGACGTAGTTTTTTAATATGTAATTTTTATAACTTATTGATATACCAATTTGTAAATAAAATGATTTCAAAAAGTAGGAAATTTTACTCCGTAACCCGCAATTTGTAATCAAATTGGGGACGGAGGGAGTATAATAATGCAATGTATTTTTTGCACAATTTCTAGTCGAAGTATAAAATAATTAATCAAGAAAGTCAAACTTGGAAAAAAATTAGAGAAATTTTACTTAAATAATACTAAAGCATAATGACTTTCTCTAAATGGCACCACATGTATTTTTCTTCCCAATGTAGCACTTTTGGTCATTGTGCATTAGTCATTATTCAAGTAAATATTCACCATTACTGGACATTATGGACATTATTAAGTGCTCTTTAAGGAATAAAACAATTTAAGTGTTATTTAAGAAAATGACTTAATTTTTAGTGGTATTTAGTGCAAATATTATGGTATCTTTTTTGATTATTTTAAATTCAGCGTTGAATTAGAATGTTATATTAGGAAAAGTTGGCGAAAAATAGTACTTGTACTTCGTATGCGTCGGTGTAGAAGTTTAGAAATTATTTATGAAAGCTCAGTAATAATTTTTCTTCTTTCCAAAAAAAAAACAATTTTTCTTACAATAACCCTTTCTTTAAAAATACTTCCTAATATTTAATACTCATTTTCTATGAATTACTAGTATGTATCATACATGTGCGTTGCACGGATTATATTTACGTACTAAATTAAGATCATTTTTGAATGATGCAAAAAAAGTTGACGCTCCTCATTAGTACTTTGACTCTCATCAGTAAATAAACAATATGTTCTTTCAAATTTTCTTTGAAAGTGCATATATTTGAATATCTGATCTATCTGCGCATGTATTTGATCCCCTGACAATGAAATGGAAAAATGTATATATTATCATCATTACAACGTTGTTAATATATACGTATTTTAGATTTATATTAACGAAAGTACTAACTTCTAGATCATGAAAAATTACATCCAGTGATTCGGACCCCCTAGCAGGGGCGGGAATAGGATAAACTCTAATCGTTCTCAATTTTTTTCATCAAAACTGACGACCTCTCATCAATATTACTTACATCCTTTAACAACCTCATGTTTTACACGAAGGGCAAAGTTGAAAATGCAGTTCAAAGAGGCCAATTACGAATTAAAAGTGATTGAGATCAGAGTTTGAACTTTGAACATTTTGTTTCTTTTTCTATGGCTGTTTATTTTTTTCTTAACTTTCGTAAAATCGTAGTGAGCCTAGCAAATAATTTTACATGGCAATATGATTTCATTACCATTTTTAATTAAAACTAGACAAATACTCAAGGACGGAGGCAGTAATATTTTTTTTCAACATTTTCTAACTTTTCCCTGTTTTACTATCTCTTTATAGTTTTCTCCAAGCCTTTCAATTTTTTTAACTTCTTCCAATTTTTTTTCAACATCCAATTTAGAATTCCAATTGAAATAACAGAGCCTAAATAATGGAAGAGAGATATTAATTTTTATGGTAACATTTTATCCTAATTAATAAATAAAATATTCATTTTATGATATTTGATTCCCACAATCTTCAAATAATAATATACTCCCTCCGTTTGGAAAAAAGGTTCCTACTTTGATTTAGAGCCAAAATAAGGATATGTTAAATTATACTGTAGTTGACTTCCAATTTTGCCCTGATGTGATGGTTAAAAGTAAAATGTGATAGATAGATTATTAGAGAAAAAGTATGATGTGATAGGTAGGGTATGAAAAAGTGAGAATAAATGTAGTTTTTTAATAGAAAGTGGAAGTGTTTTGTTGGAAGTGAAAAAAAAGAAAGAGTGAGTGTTTTTGAGAACGGATGGAGTATATACTCTATTAACAGCTGAGCTAAATAAATTTCATAATTATACTCCGTGTTAAAAAGTACAATTTTTCAAAATAATATATGTTGTCATCATTTACTATGTTTGCATTAGCATTCTTTAGGATTTCACCTCTATATTCAATTTTGTAATAATATAGAGTATCATTGTTTTTCTTAGAATATTCTTTGCTAATTTTAAAATTTTTAACTTCATTTTGTAAAAAACTTTCATTAAATTTATAAGATACTCTCTTCACCTCTAAGTAATTTAATTTTCATATATATGCTTAAATAAGATTAATTGTTATTCTACAAGAGATGAGTGATGACTATATTTAAAATTATACTCCGTAATATATTTAAGTCAACTAAACTGGAAGAGATTATTAAAATATGATTTCTAATTTTAAATTTTTTTACATTTTGATAAAATATTCTATATAGACCACACAATTTTTTACATAGAGTTATGTTTCATAGATCTTTTGATCGATGTTGTAGTTTTTAAGTATGTGAATTTTATTTTTTTAAATTTCATACCAATTCTCGATCAACTAACTAAAGTGATTTGAAATAATTACAGTCAAATCTCGTAAACATGCAACAACCAGCAATTTAAATTGGATAGATGGAGTAATCCTTGTATCTTTTATATAGTATTAATAATAAAAAAATATCTGCAAGAATTTTTATTTGAAGGCATTTTTTAATACGGAGTATTTTTTGTTAACATATTTTTTAAAATATTCTTATTTAATTTTTTTAATCATGAACTTACGTTTTAAATTTTTTATAAGAGGGGTATTTTAAATCTCTTACTATAATAATAATAAGAAATATTTGCATTAAATGGCACTAAAACCTAAGTCATTTCTCTAAGTAGCACTTAAATTGTTTTATTCCCTAAATAGCACTTCATAATGTCCATAATGATCTCTGATGGCAAACATTTACTTTAATAATGACTAATGGATAATAACTAAAAGTGCTACATTGGGAAGAAAAACACATGTAGTGCTATTTGGAGAAAGTCATTATGTTTTAGTGCTATTTACGGAAATTCCTCTAATAATAATCATCATTATCATCATTGTATCATAAATTGATAATACGCATGGAGTAGTATATATGGAGTAATTTTTATTGATATTATTTGGAAGGTTTAAATAAAAATCAAGTGAGAAAAATAAAGTGTACATAATTAAGGGAGTCAGAGAAAGAGAGAAAAATAGTTTTAAAAGAGAGAAAATGAAAAAAAAAGAAAAGAATTCTTCACGAGGCCATAGGAGGGGATGGTTTGGCATCGATAGGGTAAGGAATGGGATGAACGGCCTCACGGAAAATGCCGCAGGGTCCCACTACATTGGCTTGCCTAGCCAACCTCATATACCCGCCCTCCCCCCACCCCGTCCCCCAAGAATTCTTTATGATCCAATAGGAAGGGAGGTACCCCACGATAGCGATATCGTGGAAGTTACCTTTCGGATCCCCGCAGTACCCGCGGGGATCCGGGGAGTAAACGCCCCCGCGGTAATTCTTGAACCTGGGGACATAATCGTCCCCGAAAGCTATCGAGGCGGAGACGGGCTGCCCCGCCACGGCGGCGAGGAGCGCCGCCTCGTTGTGCAGCGAGGGGACGGAGGCGTATCCCTTGATGCTGGCTACGCTTTCCACCTTGTCGTCGCGGCATGTCCGCTTCTGGCCGACGTACGGGTAGTCTTTCTCCTTGGCTAACCTGTCGTTCTCCACCACGTAGTCGTACGCGTCGTCCATGCTTCCGCCGCCGCAGCCCTCGGAGTAAGGTTCGCAGTCTATGAGTTGTTGCTCCGATAAGTCCACCAGTGACCCGTAGTGGATTTTGTTCAGCCCCTCCACCGCCGCCACCGTCGCAAAAGCCCAGCAACAACCTGTATCAAACCATCATGTTTGTTTGTAAAATTGTGTTACAATTCAACTTTCTCTACTCTAAACAAATTCTAAACATAAGAGTAATATAGAGTTTATATGATGTGCTAATTTTATCGTAAATACTCCATCCGTCTTAAAAGATTGCTACAATTTGATTTTTTTGTCAAACTGCGGCACATTTTGACCGAAAATTATGAAAAAAATATATTTATTTATAATGTAAATTTTAAAAAAATGGATTTCTTTTAAAATATAGTTTTGAAATATCATATTATTATAATACTCCGTACTTAATTATTTTAGACTATATTTAATTTACGGTCAAAGAGTACTACTGTTTGATCGATTAAAAAAGTCAAATTGTGGCAATCTTTTAGGGACGGATGGAGTATTGGTGCATTTGGAAATAGCGTTAGAGATTAGCGTTAGTGTTTTGGATAAAATCTCAACGGTGCAAATTACTTCGAAAACGTTAACGCTAAGCGCTGTCCGTAGATAGCATTTTCAAAACTCTAATGCTAATCTCTAACGCTATTCCCAAACAGGCCCTATGTAACATTACCATAATCATAATCTTAATAAAAAACCTAGGTAATAAAATATTATACCGCATGATCCTTGGTTTTTCACGCTAGTGACAGCGCCTAGCCTCACCCAGTCTACCGCAACGGGAAGAGCGCTCAAACTCACATTATGAAAGGGCCCATTGTGTGGTTCTATTAAAGGCTTATTGCCGCTAGGGCGGCGGGGGCGGTGTTCTGACGCAGTTCTAGAACAATTTCTTCTGAGGTAGATGTCGGCAAACTCCTCGTCCGTCATGTCGGAAAATGCATTGATGCCAAGTGTGAAAGTGTGATTGCCAGCGTTATTGAACGACTCAACGTACTCTTTGTTTTTCTTGAAGATGTTGAATCGCTTTTCCTTCTCGGATTCGTCTGCATAAGAGCGTCCGTGAAAAACCATCCATTTCTCAAAGTGCTCCTCCACGGGGAGTTCTCGAAATGTGTCGTTTTGACTATCGGTAGCGGCTTGACATGTCAGAGCCGTCATCGTTAGCACAATTAGGACAAAGGACCCAAGAATAGACTTGACACAAATGTTGAGGTGAGCCATTGGAAGTGATTGGTGAATGGTATTGGAGGAATGGCTCGTTCACTAATTTATACTCCCTATATATCATAATCGTATGGGGAATTTACCTTAATGATACTCTGTACTAAAATATAATGGTTTTCTCAATGTAGTACCATATATCTTAATTATATTCCAATATAATGTAGTATCATTGGTTATTGTCAATTGGTTATTGTTCAAGTAAATGTCTACCATCACTGAAAATTATCCCCACCACTAGATGTCTAGATATTATTCAAATATTATTACTTTGGAAATAAAAAAAATTTAATGATATATTGAGAAATGACATACTCCCTCCGTCCCAAAAAGTTAGTTACGTTTCAAAAAGTTTGCATCCTATAAAGTCTTTTCCATTTCTATTAAAAATTCACTTTTACCTCTTACTTTTTCATACCCTACCTATCACATCATACCTTTTTCCTAATAATCTACCCATCACATTAAGAGTATTTTTGGAAAGTCAACACCAACATATCCCTCCTTATTTTACCACTTTAGTGAAAATGTCCCAATCTTTTTTGGGACGAAAGGAGTATTTTTTAGTACGGATTATTATTTAGTACAAATTTAATTTATTGTATTTTTCCTGTAACAATTACGTAGAATCTCTTTACTCGGCGTTACCTAAAAGGTTCAATTTAGAATATACTCGTACTTACTAATGATTGCATAATTAATTTAAAAAAATACGGAGTATCTCGATTTACTAAACCTTTAACGACTTTAAATTTAAAATATCTACTAATAATTGCATCATTAATAGTGTATACTCATATAATCCCAACCACAACCTAAAAAAAAGAGAAAATTGTTCCTAGATACCCTATATTTTGAGAGACTAACTGCTGGGTACCTCATATTTTAAAATATACTTCGAGGTACCCTCTATTTTTAGAAACTAACTATCGGGTACCTCGCATTTTTAAAATATATTCCGAAGTACCTCCAAATATACATTAACTTACCTGTGAAGGACATCTCTTCTCACTCTTCGTCAAAGCCACCACTATTTTGTATATATATATATATATATATATATATATATAGAACACTGTTTCGGAGAAGCAGGCATGAGGTGCTTCTGCTGTCAGCTTTTGTGAAAATCACTTTATCCATAAGTTAATTACTCCCAAAGACCCTCCAAGTATCAAACCTTAATAACTAAAAAATTTGTATTCCACAAATACACACCTTGCGTATGTATATATCAGACATCTGGTGGCAACTCTTCTAAAACCAAATAGTGTTAGAAGAGACACATACTCTAGTCTCATAGTGCATTCAACACTTCTCATTTCTATTAAAAAGTCACTTTTACCCCTTACTTTTTCATACCCTAACTATCACATCATACCTTTTTACTAATAATCTATCCATCAAATCATACTTTTACTCATCACATCAAAGGACATTTTTGGAAATTCAATACCAAAATACACCCCCTTAAATCCCTCCTAAAAAGCAAATGTCCCATGTTTCATGGGACGGAGGGAGTAGTTAAGGATGGTTACAGCAGCCACTTACAGGTGATTAGTTGGTGAAATGTCTGAGCCGGCTGATTTTACATTTTGGAGTCACTTGTGCTATTTTTTGTGGACCATGCTACACTTACACCAAAAAATATACCCTATTTGTACACCACAGGTTTGCACAAACATTCCGATGGTTTACACCGACACAAGTGTTGGTGCGTTAATAAAAATTCACACGGACACAAATATTGGTGCATTTAACAAAAATTAGTTTTACACCAACACAAAGTGTCGGTGCAAAACTATGGGGTACAAAACTTGGGGTACATATAGCATAATCCATTTTTTGTTTTGTAAATGAATACTTGGATCATCTTTTTTTTGAGATGATGTTCATTAATTAGCAGATTGCGTGTGGCGGCTAGTGAAGTGGAAAGAAAGTAGAGAGGTGGCAGTCACCTTCGGGAGTTGGTTTCAGCATCAGTCGGAGGTATATATTAGGGGTGAGCGGTATGACACGGTATTTAGCCCGTACCGATACCGTACCAAATATTTCGGTTCGGTATGAGATTTTACTCCGTACCGATCCCGATCCCGAAATATCGGTTTGGTATGGTTCGGGATGGTTCGGTGTCGGTTTCGGTACAAATCGGGATGATGATACATACATATTTCTACATATTAAAATTTAACAATACTCTTTTATTTTTGAAAATTAAAAGTAAATTTCAATAAAAAAAACCATGAAAAATTAAAAAAATGAATATTTAAATGCAAGAGATGCGTATTAAAAACTTAGTTTATATTTCACAAACTAAAAAATGACTGACAACAAATGAGTATTTTGAATCTTTGTGAATACTTGTATGCTCATACACAATAATTAAAATTCAAATAAAAGTATAATTTACACATAATAACACTTGAACCAATTTTTTTAAAAGATTTATAATTTAGTGAAGGAATATATAAAAATATTACTTCGGGGTATTATTTTTATAGAATTTTAGTATATATGTTCGGTACGGGATTTTCGGTATGGGACGTCACCTCGTACCGTTCCCGAATACCGTACCGACCATTCGATTTGGTACGGTTCGGTTCTTTCTCGGTACTTTTTCGGTTCGGTATTTTTCGGTTCGGTATTCTCAGGTTTTTCAGGAAATTTTGGTATCAGTACGGTAGTTGATCACCCCTAGTATATATCCTCATCAAATTTGGAGTTACTGTTAGCAATTATATATGGTCATTTAGGCTAGCTCTTTGGAGATAGAGCCATGAATTCAGCTATATATGAGATGGCAAAGTCCCAACGTTGGGGTGTGTTGTTGAATGGATTTTAATTTTTGGTAGTCAAAATTGATAATTTTGACCATAAATCATACTCCCTCCGTCCCCAATTTGATTACAAATTGTGGGTTACGGAGTAAAATTTTCTACTTTTTGAAATCATTTCATTTACAAATTGGTATATTAATAAGATATAAAAATTACATATTAAAAAACTACGTGAAAAGTTCTACAAAACAAGAGGTGACAAGAATATTTTATTTTATCAAATACATAAAGAAATCGCGTAAACAAACAAAAGTTATCGAGAGGAGAGAGAAAAAAAATTGTAATCCATTTAGGGACGGAGGGAGTAAAAATTTGATACAAAAACAATTTGACTGGATTCATCTTTTAAAATATTTTCAAAATATTATTTTACTTAATTAATAATTTAATATACATATACTTTTAATTAAAATACAAGTCAAAAGTTAATTATTACGGAGTATTGATTTCAAAAGCTTAAAATTAAACAAATATTTTGGTATAGAAAGATGCTTTGTTTGAGAATAACATTTTCATTTATGAAATGAGTGAGGAAAATGAATAAAACTACTTCGTCCTAATATCTGTGCCGGAGCTCAAGGAAGTACTTCCAGTTTATATGCGAGTCTAGCCTCTAGAGCAATGTCCCGTCTTCTTCATTCCCTGAACCGCCAATGCGCTTCCCCGTCCACGTCTTTTCCCCGCGCGCTCGCCCATTTTCGCCGGTCAAAGTCTAACAGCTCCGGCGGCGGAGAAGACGATGTCCCACACCCACGCCTCATAGAGATCGACTTGGAATCGTCGACCACGGATCGGGATCCTGCCGTCTCCGGCATGCATATGCTCGACGATGTCATACACAGCCTCATCCTGCGCCGATCTGCCCCAGATTGGCTCCCTTTCCTCCCTGGATACTCCTACTGGGTCCCTCCTCGCCGTCCCAGCAACATCGTGGAGGTCGTCCGCAAGATCTCCGCTGCTAAAGCTCGTCCCTCTCCTCTTTCAGACGATGAATTGATGGCTGTCACCTCGCCTAGCGGCTGGCCTTCCTCCAACTATTTTTTCCAAGGTACAGATTTGTCTCTTCTTTGCTTCATTTGTATAGGCAGTTTTTCCATTTCCATTTATTGCATTCGTGATTCTCATTTTCTATGGTTTCCAAGTCTAGATGTCTAGATATGAATATGTGTTCTAAAAAAATGCTTCTCCTAGGCATTAGATTAGTGCCTTGGCGGTGGGACCTAAAGCGAGGATTTTTATAACACTAGATAGATGCTTGGCTTATTGAGATGGCAAACTTTAAACTTGATTGAGTATGTTTAGGTGGATGTGATAATGTAATCCACATTAGAGCTACTTTTGCCTCTTTTCTTTTTGGCTTAATAAAGAAAGGGTTTCTACTCCCTATAATACTATAGTTTTCTTATTTTCAACTCCATATAATGCAAATTTCGACGCTGAGCCGGGGGTTTCTTTGGAAATAGCCTCTCTACTTTCGAGTAGGGCTTGCACCCTCCCTAGACCCTTCTCTTGTGGGATTCAACTGGGTTGTTGTTTGCATAAATTATCATAAAACCAATTAATCTAATGTTATATCTGAAGCCACACAAGCTAATGGTACCAATATCTCTAGGAAAAGGTATCTACACATCCACGCTTAGATCATATGATACTCCATCCCCCTCCCCAGTCTCTTAGCAGTTTCCCTACCTGCTGTTAGTAATATAGCATCCCCTCTGTTTCTTTTTATCTCCACATGATGAACAATCCCTCTCGAAGGTGGTACATAAAGTTATAGGCAATCAAATGCTAATGACTTAATTGGTTTACTCTATTTGGACACTAAGGGTTTATATTACAGTTTTTGGGACAAGTCAAATTTATTGCAAACTAAAAATGTGAAAATTAGGATATGCCATCCTATAAGCTAGATCATTTCATATATTTAAGACAAAAAAGTCGCTATTATGTGATTGAAGATTTGTCTTATTGCATGAAGAAAGTGAGAATATAATTAGCTAAATTTCACTCTATGCTGCTGGTTGTTTTATAATATGTCACATGATCTTAAAATTAGTTCTTTAAAAATATGATCAAGGACACTTCAATCATTGTGTACAAAAGTTGGGGTTGAGAATATAACCTACGAGTGGATGACCTCATATTTTGTTAGAAATTTATTGGGAGAATGTAACCTATGAGTGGATGACCTCATATTTTGTTAAGAAATTTATTGGGAAATACATATGTAGTGTTCAACATGTTACTTGGTAACATTATTTCATGTAAGTGTTGAGGAAACTATATTAAGATAATATTAAAAGAAAAATTATACTATAGTAATACTTTAATAATGGACTAGCATTCTTGTGGGCATGCAAACTGCTCTCCATAATTAAACGTTGATTGGTTCAGACCTCCACTTCGTTTCACCCAATCTCCATCCTCATCGTGGTCGTGGATAAATAACCCAGGGTTGGGTCTGTAAGCAGTGAGCCTGTGACAATTGCCCTATGGAAACTTGCTTTTGTTGTGGCTTCAACGGGTTTTCTTAACCAAGCCACTGCCTATGCATCAATGGCGCGCTCTTCAAACTTAACCTCACAAGTTAATACTCAAACATTATTGGTTTAGCGTGCATGTGATGTTTGGGAGAGAATGTTTTGCACAAAATGTTTAAGACAAAAATATAGAAAGACCATAATCTTGGCTATAGAAAGATGTTGACAGACTCGAGCGGAGGTATCAAACTACACTAACCCTAATTTCAATGTACTCTTATTCTACTCTGAGATCCCTTCCGTCTGCATGTAGTTGTACTCTTCTCAACCCATCAAGTTTAAAGAATGAGTTGAATTGAGAAAAAATATCTTGTAATTGGCTTGTCCTCTATTGTGGAAAACAAGTTTATTATACTCTTTCCAGGTATTTTGGGTGATTCACCACTTGTTTACCAAATTAGGTAAATGGACAATTAATCCCCAGCATTCCAAAAGGGAAAAGTGGACTACTAAATTTGAACAGAGAGTAATATCAAGATTCTCTCTTTTATTAGTTGCAGTAATAACAGTAATTGTGCATCTGTATCACTTTAAGAGTGTGTAGATTGTATTCTATACTAATCGGCTAATCGCCCGTTTTAAGTGTTATTTTGTTATTAAACTGTAAACCTTTTTATCCTTAAAGTTATGTCTTCTACATCAGATAGTGAACTCTTAGGAAAATTCAAAAAAGTGACAAAGGAATATATGACCATTTGGGAATTTACACTCTTTTATCCTACCTGTGTTTCTTTGTTGTTCCAACGTATTTGACATGTTACAATATATGTCACTCCTTCCACCTGGATTTAATTTTCCTCTTGTCCCAAATTTAAGGAATGTGGTGAATTGACAAAAAAACCCTATAATTGGCTTATTCCGCTTATCCTTCACGGCTTCACTGTTGGCAACATGCTTATATTACTCATTAAGGTATTATGGAATTGTGGATTGCGATCTTTTAGTGCTGTTTTTCCCCACCTATTTCTTCAAACAAGTCAAACTTGTATCTTTTTTTGTTGGCTCAAATAAATTTGTTGGATTAGATGGTCCATTTAAAAAAAACTATTTGTTTTTAGTGATTTTGAGTGCTTGAAATTTGTAGACACGTAATACTAATTATAAGTTTCATTTTTCTATAGCATAGCAAATGCCAGTGTATTTTTTGAGTAAAAAACTGAAACAAAGCTGACATCATATAGTTCTCAGTCCTATATCAAAGCCAGACTCTGATAATAAGTATTCCGTGTATTTGCTATCATAATTTGCATGAACATACATTCCTTGAATCATTGATGCACACATATAAGCACATATATATATATATTTATGCTTGGCTTGGGATTGTAGGGAGTGCCCCCATGTATCCGCTTGCATCACAAGTGATAGAAGTGAAAGTGAAGCTTCAGGAAAACTTTGACGACGAATCTGAATCTGAATCTGAGGACGAGGAAGACTGAATAGCTTAAATTTGTAGATTGGGTCGTTGGGGTAAGTACATTTTCCGCTATACAATACAATCACAAACTTGTATAATGCTTGAAATGTCTACTATGCAGTATAGTTTTACATCTATCTGTATAGCATGAATGATATGAACACTGACCCTAAACCCACACCAAAAGCTAGCTCAAGGGTAGCTTTATCTCATGCTTTTTAATTTTTATATTGGAAAGGAATCCCCGGCCAATGCCATACATCCTGACCTGAAAAAACAAGAGAAATACTCCCTCCATCTGAATTTAGTCATCCACTTTTTAAGTTTATATATATATATATATATATATATATTTAAATCTTATTATAAGGAATGAAAATAGATAGGCCACTAAATAAGCAAAAAAATAAAAGAACGAAAAGTTTATGCTCGAAGGCGAATGTCAAATAAGCCCTCTAAATGAGTATGTTGCTCATGAGCATCTCAACAATGCTCACACCTTATATTTAGGATATGTAGACAATTCATCTGAATTTCTTTTCTTATGGTTCTAATAACGCCAGTTTTGGATGTCATATTTTATCACAGGGGCTAAGATGCTCTGTTGAGCCCCAAAGTGGGTCCTCCTCCTCCCTCCACCCCCCCCCCCCACTGCATCCCTTACAAATTAGCGATTCTAAGGAGTTGGGAGCTAGGCTGGATGTCGGGTGTAGGGACCCACATCAGGCCCTACGGAGCACCAAATTATCCTCAAATGACCATAATATGACACCCAAAGTGGGTGTCAAAAGAACCTTCCCCTGAGAAGTGGACAACTAAATCGGAACGGAAAGAGCATCAGAGAACAAAAAATAGTTAAATACTCACTCTTGCTTATTGTGCAGGCTAACAAACAAGCTTTGTGAGGCTGGGGAAAAATATGAAACTGGCAATGAAGGACAAGAAATGGCATACTAGAGATTGAGATTGAGTTCAGCACAGTGGATCCATGCTCCCTCCTTACGCCTTAAACAAAATACTATGCACTAAGAAATGCTGTTTGGATAATAAACCTTTGTATATAATTGAATCTGACAATCAAGACTTTTTCTGTTTAATGTTTGATTCTTAATGTTATCAAAATAATCTATATTCCTTACACTTCCATAACTTGGCTCTTTTCCCAAATCCATTCCAACAAAGCCCCCAAACACTTGTGTGAGAGTGTCCCACAAGTCATGTCATCCACAGACACTGGCAGAAAATGGTCTTTTCTCACAATGTTCTTTGCAACCAATTCCATATGTATCATGGTTTGCTTTCTTGAAAGTTCTGTAAGTACTTGTATCAAAATAAAGTACTTTGTACTTCTATTCGTTCCAAATTAATGTTTGTTCCTTTTTGGGCACGTAATATGTGGCCACCATTATTTTCTATCTATCATATCAAATATTTTTTTAGTTATGATTTTGGCAAAATAAACATTTGATTTGTAAATGGAGGGATTTTTTTTGTGCCTCCACCTGACACACTTTCGAAGATAATAAAAGAATTTTCTCGGTATGGATAATTAAAGAATATGGTTGAAATTTATTTAAAAACGAAGCAAAAATATACCCGAGAAAAGAACAAGAAAACATACAGTAATTTTAATCTTTTCTTTAAGGATCTGAATTTGTTTTTGGCAAGCTATACAAAATGGAAAAAAAAATGTTAGGGAGTACTTATGTAGTGCCGGGAGTATGTGTGCTTTAGTCTAATCATGGCACCAGTTGGCAACTTTTGGGCATTTTAGCTTTTAGAACGTGTGTTCCTCATGAGAAGGATGGACAAATTTCGAGTTTGGACTAATTTTTATAATGAACATTATGTAATTTTTTACAATGATAAAAACAATTCTATAGAAATACTTTTAACCAATCACAAAAAAGGGGCGAGCAAACGGGCAAGGGTCATGTTCTCTTCAACTTATTCTTATTACTTACGTAGTACTATTTTTGCTTATTCAAATTAGTTCAGTTTAAATCAGATTAGACAACATCATATCAAATCAGAAACAACTTTAAATATAATTACATTCAGATTAGATCAGAACTTATTACAATCAAATCAGAAGCATTCAAGTCAGGTGAAGAGAACATGACCCAAATGTGTGAAAATGAGCATTGTATTTTATTTGTATACATACATTTTCCAATGTGTGGAAAATGACTAAATGAGTATCGTATTTCTTGCTAAAAAACATTTGACGACTAGATAGCTAACATAAAAAATGTGTAAAACAAACATTTTATTACTCAAATTGAATACGACTGTCCCTACCAATTCGGTGTCTTGATTCGTCATCATGATTTTGACGATTTGAAGTTTGTGATTAATCAAAACGTGTTAATCGTGATCCTAAAATTAAATTTTCTTTAATAGATTGAACAAAATTTAGCTCAAAACTCATGGTTTAAGTTGAACATTGGACAATCAAATAAATCAAATTTAAAATAAAATATATTAGACCTCGTAAATAGAAATGGAAAGAACGTTTTTCGAACGGAGGGAGTACAATTTTAGAAGGCTGAATCAAGAGAAACATTAAAATATACGGAGTATGAGTTAATTGAAAGGGCAGGGCATATACAGTTAACTTTTATTATAATTACTACTATTTTTTATTTAAAAAAAGTCAAATTTCAGCAATTATTATGTTTGATATTTGGTCTTAAGTTTTTAAATAGTCCACTTTTACCACCTGCCGAAAGTAAGTAAAAAAGCAACGTTTCTTGTGGATTATGTTTGACATTTCACAATTTTAAAAATATTGAAGAATAAAAAGATTAATAGTTAAAATTTGTTTAAATATGATAAAATTCTGGCGAATCACATGTTAATCACTAAAAATAAAATAAAATAAATTATCTTTTTGAACATTGAAAAAGAAAACGCGAATAAATCTTATTTTAAATAAAGACTGACATTAATTTAATTAAAGGTAAAGCTTTCTAAACACTCTTATCTATGTAAAAAAGCATTTACTTAATTTTGACCTTTTATAGTTAAAGATAAACTCTGACTATAAATTAAATAAAGCTTTTATTAAATATTGATAAAAAAATAATTTTGTTGGATTCATCTTGTAAAATATTTTCTAAATGCTTAATGTTTTTATATGTAACTAATACTCCCTTCGTCCTAAAACTTTCTTCCCAGAGCACTATTCCAACTTCATGAGAATTTATCTTTATTTGTGTTTTTTCATGGCCAATATATAAAATAAAATATTCTTGTCACCACTTGTTTTGTTGAACTTTTGATGTAGTTTTTAAATATGTATGTTTTATTTTTTATTTCTGTACCAATATTTAAATAAAATAGATTGAAAACTTGGGATTTTTCTTCGTTTTACGAAGCGGGAAGAAAGATATAGGACGGAGGGAGTACAACATATGATTTTTTTTACTTTATTATAGGCTAAATATCAATCTTTGTTGATTATAAAAAATCAGAACTAGACATACACTTTGAGATTTCGAAAGTATCATCCTAAATGATTATTTTAGGGTAGTATCCCAGTACATTATTTTTAAGAAAAATAATTGAAAAGATGCTATATATAAAACATTTAAAGCAATTATTTGCATCATATTCCAAATTCATTACCTACTTAATTTTTTCTTAAAATATTGGGTAATTATCTCTTTTCTCCACCATAAAAAAGCAAAAAAAAGTTATTTTTTGTATAGAACTAAACACTCCATTAATTAGTTAAATATTATTTTGGTTACAATTAGTTAGTTAATTAATTAATTAATTAAACAAATGGATTCCACAGGTGGTGGGGACAACGTGGCATAGTTCTGTTTCGTCTACAGTTAAAGGGGAAGAAGAGCATATGCCTCGCCACACTCTCCTCCGTTTTCTCTTTCACTCTCTTCTTCTCCTCCTCCCCGTTGTCCAATACCTGATCTGCGATCATCTCCCTCCCATTTCCACGCCATTTTCTGCCCAGCTCTGCAACCGATCTGCTCGATTCTGATGATTCGCCGCCTTTCGAATCCCCCGCATCGATTCTCTGTAAGCCTTTCTTCTTCCTTTTTTTCACATTTCTTCTTCGGAATTTGTCATTTTGGATTTTGGATTTTTTTGTTTTTGTTCTGGCACGTGAAATCGAGACGGATGAATGTTGTATGTATCTCTCTACCTCGATCGGATTGATTGCATGTCCATGTGTATGTTGATTGTGTTTGAATCTGGATTCATTTGTCATGTGAAATGCACGGGATTCTAATCGGTAATTTGTCTCCGCACTCTATGATTGCGGTTCGGGAATTGAAGCTGTGCCGCGCGACTTGAGTGCTTCTTGTTTCAAGCTGGATTCTGAGAGCTGCCCTGTCTTTTTCTTTCTAAAGAGCATCACAAGGCTCTCAGCTAGCCGTTTGAGTGCTCTTTGTTCTGCCTCTTTTATCGTTAGTGTTTTATATACTCTTAGGTTTACATTGCCAATGTACCTAAGACAGTCATTATTAGCCGTGTTTTAGCTTTCAGTAAATAGTGGACGAATTCAAAATCACATCTTACTTCGAAGAATAATTGGATAGAAAATGCTGCAACATTTTAGGGCCTAACAGAAAGAGCATCTCTGTTTTTCTGTACAAGGGTAAGGTTGTGTAGATCTTGACCCCTCATGTAGTCATGTCTCCACGAAGTTAGAGTAGTGCCGGTTTTGTTGATTTTCCTTTATCTTTATATAGTCGTACATTTTAATACACGGGGACTTCCATTCAAAAAACTAATACGAGTTACTCAGGCTTTGACGTGCCATCTAGATTCCCTAGAATTAAATATTAAATAAAGAGATTCTTACAATGGTTCATTTCCAATGAAGGTAAAAGAGTCATTTTTTGCTTTGGGTAAATAAGGAACTAAAGCAAAATGACATTACTTTTCCATTGCTTCCTACTTTCTATGAAGTTTTGGGTAGTCAATGCGTCAAGCGCCTGACGGGAGTTGGCATTTTTTAAACTTGATATCCTGGTTTGCTTGTTATTGTAGAACACAAATCTCGGAAAAAAAAATACTCGGAGTATTTTTTTCTAGTAAGAAAAATCTCTAGATCTCAAATTAAGCAGTGCACCTTGCTAAAAGAAAGTTAAATGGCCTGCTATTTGGGCACCCTTGTGAGCAGCCTTCTTAGAGTCCAAGCATTGTGGATGCTTTATTTTGCATGGTTTAATCCCCTTTCATATGTTTTTGTGTTGGATTCTTGTAGCTTTATCCAATTATATTCTCCCCTTTATTCATCTCTGAGTTTCATTTTTAAGTTCTGATTTACATATTTATCCTTCATCACACTTTTTATGTTCTTTCAGCCTCTTCATTGATAATAGCACTGAAAGCAAGTGAGGAAGTGAAACATTGTCATGGTTGTTTCATCGAGAAATTTGGATTCAGCTTTCCAAGGTGCTGGACAGAAGACGTATCCTTTTCAGATCATTTTGAATTATAAACATCCATTATTTTCTCCATGTTATTCTTTGTTACATGCATATTTTGTCGCACAACGTGGGTGTGTTGTTCATGTATTTTAAAGGCACACAAAGAACTACTCCCGTCCCTAAAAGAAGTTTCTAGGGACTCACGTTGTTTTGAGTTGATTAAATCGTTTTGTCTTTGACTTCCAGAAATGCCCTTGTAATATGTGCGCGAGAATAATTCGTAGGTGTAGCAACAGCAACAAACCTAGTAAATCCCACTAAAAATAGGTTATGTGCACACAGACCATACCCCTACTTGAATTTAGAGAGGTTGTTTCCAAGAGACCACCAACTCAAGCAAAGCCAATGTAAAGTTTTAAACCAACAAAGAAGGCACATATCACATAGTATTGCCAAATAGCAAAGAGCAGACTAAGAGCAAAACAAGCGCACCGAGACACCAAACGCACATACCAACACTGGCAACTAGACCACCAAGCACACAAAGACAAGAGTAGAAAGCACCCACACAGAACTACTACCAAAGTACCTTAGTCCTAGATCTCTAGATGTTCCTATCTACGGTTATATTCTTGATAAGGTTCAGAAGTCGTAAATCATGTCTAATCACTCCTAACTTTTTGTAGGTCTACCCCTTCCCCCACCTTGTCCACTACTGTAAGCCTCACGCATCTCCGCACTGGGCCTATCACTTCTCCGCTTCACGTGCCCAAACCATCTCAACCTAGCTTCCTGCAAGTTATCCTCCACAAGTGTAGGTGTGAAGATATTAAATGAGGGTAGTTAGGTTAAGTAACAATCTTGCTTTTACCAAATAAAGAAAGGGGACTTTATTAAGGGACGTACAAAAAATGAATAAAAGGAATTTTACTCAGGGATGCAAGA